TTTTAAAATTAACTTTCACATACAACTCTTTAAAAAAGAAAATTAAACATTTCTGAATCTTATAATTATATTTAAATGCATCCATATGGCATATTGAGACAAGGAAAAATATTGGAAAAACAATATTAGATGCGCTATCTAATATATTTAAATAATTTATTTATACTATCGTAATGTATAATACTATTTATTTATACTATCGTAATGTAATAATGTATTTATACTATCGTTCTAATATTCTTTCATATTCAGCTATAATTTTGCCGTTTTTTTCGGTTTTCTTAATAAAAAAAGGAAAATAAAGAAAGATTAATCTCGAGGCTAAATGAAATGTCATTCGAAACAATATCTTTATGGAAAGTTTCGACGGGGTTTGCCTCTCACGCTTGTACTCGCGCATATCACGTGTTATTCGCTCGCAAGATGGTTATATACGGTGCAATAATTAACATGCGCGATTGCTTCTGTTTCTTAAGTACACCCTTCACCGGATTCCGCGCGGATGCAATCGGTGTTGCAATCGTATATCGCGTTTGCAATAGAATGTTGCATATAATATGAATACATATTGGATTTATTTATTTATCTCTTTATATGCGTTTTTATTTTTAAAGTTGAATAGATATTTTTGTGCCTATTTTTTTATCTTTTAGTGGCTAATTCATTTAATTATTATTGATTAAGTTGTTCATAATTGATGATCCGAGTAAAAAGATAGGATATAAATTATATAGAATAAAATAATTACATAGATTATTTAAAAAATTTCATTCACAAACGCAAACTACATGCAAAATGCTAAATTGGCATTCATGGCACAAAACTTGTAATTAAAACGAATGCCTAGAATTAATATATATGTCATTATCTGTGGGAAATCAACTGCACAAGTATAGAATTATCGTATGCCAGTAATAAACAGTTATATATATGGAATTAGATAGGCTTGGATTGGTAGGAAATCGATTTTACTTGATAAGCGTTTGAATAATATAACAAGCAATTTCTGACTACTGTTTTAGTTTAGTATACTTAACTGTTAATACGTATCGATACTGGTTGCAATAATAATCAATAAATTTTATGGAAATAATCGATAAAAAATTAGAACGAAGATTTCTTTATTCAATCCTTAATTTCTTATTAATTCTTATTCAATTCATTTATTTATTAATTCAAAAAATTATTAATAGTCTTACCTTTTTCCGGCATTAAATTTTATCAAACTTTTTATTTCAAAAAAATAACTTTAAAAAAATAAAAAACTAAAAAATAAAAAATATATTAAAGACATATTAATATTTTCTTATAAATTAAATGTAATTACACGAGAAGAAATAAATGATAGAAAAGATTAATTAGATAGAAAATATTAATTACATGATTATATTTTTATATAAATACATTTTTATTGCCGTTTAGACCAGAATTCCTTTGATTGTTTCTATGTTTGGCGCAATTAAACAAGTGCATAATATTTGCCGAAACGAGAGATTCAAAGAATTTATAAAATATATTGAAAAATGCAAATTTGATTATTTAATAATAATAATTTTTGTTCAATTTATATGCATCATTTTACAAACATTTTATCCAATTTTTTTTTTTATTAAATCTGAGAAATCTTGTCTAATTTACTTTCGAATGACAAAAAAATCAAGTTTATTGTAATAAGAAAAAAAAACAATTTATTATAATAGGAAATATTAATGCAAAATAAAATCTATCATATTTCAGCTTCACCCACACTAAAAATGCGACAAATTTACATTTCTCATTATTACATCACACATTATATATTCGTAAAAGTATATATAAACAGTGATATAATCCAATCCCCTCTTCTTCTCTTTCATTAGGTGTCCATATAATAATTTGCATAAATAAGTATCGGTGCAGCTGAATCGTAAAACTGGCCTACGTGATCGCGATCGCGAGAAATCGACAGAGATCATATCGCAAGACCTAATCATATGCATCTTGGCCGAGATTGTAGGTGTATGAGATTTCTACTTAATTCATCAGAATGAATTAATCTCGCGTGTGTGAGAGATTTTATGACTTTTATATTCGCTGAAGTCGTGTTTATTACGTAAAAATACGAGCATCAATCACAAAATATTTAGCTGTTACCTATTTTTTATCCTAAATTTTATCGAAATACGTTGAATGAAAAATACCCGATCCCAAAGATATATTATACATTTAATGAAATATATTTTTCATAAAATTTATATTATATGTACTTTAAAGTGTTTAAATTGTATACAATTAGATTAAATTAAAAAGAAATTAATAGCATTTTTCCTCTTTTTCATTTGAAAAAGAGAACGGCGATATATATTGCACAATTAAAATACAAAAAAAATGTATTCATCGACCAAAAATATTGATCGAATATTCATTAAACACACATTCATAAATAATTCACATTTCACTAGAAATATTTCATGGTATCGAAAATATATGTATATTAACATCGCAAAATACACAAGCTGAATATAATTTTGATGTTGCAGGGAATAAAATTGATATAATCACTCATCGTTGACGCGCAATTTATTAGCGTAATCCTCGAGCGCTCGGCCTTTCTCCGAGTCAATCACGCCGGCAGACAAGTCAGCAAGCCAACGGCGAATTACCCGGGCATATCCTGCGGCTATTGCCGTATCAAAGAGAGTGAGAGACAGAGAGAGCTAATCTTTCGACGTCCGCGACCTATCGCAAGAAGTTCTCTGCCACGGCCAGTGGCGTGAATTAAAACGTAACGACTCACCTCGATCTTGCGCGGTATCCGACCTTGCTATTGTTCGTCGTGCTATTGTGACCCCGAACTGGCCGCTCGAGGTCATTAACTGATCGTTAACAGGTTCCTGCCTTTTCACGGCGAATTCCATGCTGATAAATACGCGTGACAGTCTCGTGACACAAGCCACGCGTACACACACACACACATGCTGACTTTCATCTATACGGATATCATTGTTACGCGATCGATATCATTCATGCGTGCTGTCGTTTGATAATGAGATAACCCGATAAATAATCGACACAGGAATGATATATGAATGCCTCGCGACATAAATGTATCTTTATCTCGTAAGGATAAGCTTCATTTATAAGATTGCCGTCTTATGAGACACTAAGTACGACAAAAATATACGAAAAAAGGCACAAAAGACAATATTAATTCTTCAATAATTCTCATATCTTATCTTCATATTTTATCTTTCTTGTAATTATAGCATTACATAATCTGTTTTTCCAAAAACTCCAACAGAGATAAAAATACAATTATAATCCAAATATATATTTCTTAATTATATTTAATTATATTAATATTTTTTAATTTAATATTATAATGTATATATTATGTGTATTATATATTATATATTAACATGTATAATATAAAATAACGATATTTTAATGTCTTACGAAATAAATATATTTTATAATAATGTGTAACACATAAAAAAGTTAAAAATTTCTCTAAAAAATTAATTTTATTCTTATTTAAAAATAATTAAATTTAGATTATTTAGAATTAACTCTTCTCATCTCTATTATGTTAAATACTAATTTAAATTAAATTTTAATTTTATTAAATATGTTACATCTTATATATAATGCATGATAAATCTTATATATAATCTTATATATAAGATTTATCATGTGTGTTCCGAATTAATTTTTTAAATTACAGGATTAATTATTCACACACAAAATGATTATCCGTAATTCTCGTTTGCGAAAACCAATTCTCTCTTTTTCTCTCTTACATACATACATACTGTCGATACACTAAATATTTTTAACAGATAATTATCAGTTTCGTATCTGAAAACGCGCGCACGAGATTAGCGATGGAAGGAAATTTACTGCAATATCGTGGCGACTTGCAACGCATTTTGCCGTAATAATTCTCCTGTTACCATGTAAAACATGATAAACGACGCGCGTAATACTTGTCACAAACGAGCAATATTTAAAACATGCAACGCCACTTTTGCGTGATATTCGATTAAATTTTTACGAATTATGCAATGACATTTTCCAGCCGCTTGTAAGGCGATCTATTCGTGACATACATTTTCACATGATCGTATATTATAATATGTAATATATATGTAATATATTTAACACGTTTTTATCAACGATTATTCATTTTTTCCAACAAATTTATATCGCTACACGTATATTTTAATAGTATTTTAACAAGTCAGTGTATTTCTCTATTAATATAAAAAGCGAATTGATTCAACAAATTTATTTATTTAAAAATTTATTTAGTTATTTGAAAAATTAGATAGTTTAAATTTTGCAAGTAAAAGTTCGACATATATATCAAAGATTAAAAAAAAATATTATAAGATATAATTTATTTCTCATCAAATTTAAATAAATTTTTTCACAATTTAAAGAATTTAATTTGTTAAGTTTTGTTTGCAATTATTTATTGTTTGTTATCTTGAGATATTTATTGTTTATTATCCTATTTAGTTTCTGTCTCTCTCTCTCCTCTCCTCTCTCTCTCTCTCTTATCTTTTACATATTTTATTCAGTTCCACATATCTTCTCGTCAAAAATATTTATAAATAATTAATTCTTATAAATCGAAATTTTTAAAACTTTTAAATGGTTAGAGACAAATTTTTACATCTTGTTAGAAACATAATTAACATACTTTAAAAGACTTTTTTATATGCATCTTAATAATAATTTATTAAAAACAATATATAATCGCTATACTAATATTTTAAAATATATTCACAAAATATATAATGATAATAATAATAATAAATAACTAATATATGTAATATGCAATAAGTAATTTAATTAAGTTTTTGATAACATCCGAAAAATAAATATCATGTATATAATGCATATAATATCATGTAATATATTATAATATAAATTCACGTAAACTTCTCGGAGAGAAACTATCGTTAAATTAATATTTCGATTTATAAGAATTACATATAAAAAATCTGGTCACTCACCGACATCATCGAAGATGAATAAGCGCTTCCCTGCCTCCATTCTTTGACGGCTTCTCGATGATCTCTTTCATAGTCTTTGTTGCACTCGCGATCACACTTCTCGATTCTGCTAAGTACACAGAATAATATATCAATTGTGATAGCAATTAAATACGCGAACAACACTCGCGACACGAAATAAAAACGAGATACGCGAATATGGATTCCGACAAATCGACAGAGTGTCTAGAGATCGATCGCGAATTATCAAGAGCACCGCATCCGTACATCTGACATTCAAGTACGAGATCAACGACACGACACTAAATCCGATAACTGTACGTGGAAGTTTGACGAGGCATCCAAAAAACGTCCGCAGAAAACACGCAGTGGATTCAAACTCATCTAATTGTCGGGCACGCCAAGTGACAATTCGAAAATGTCGGCGAACATTGTTTGGCGCGTTTTGCGCGTTGCCTAGACAACGCAAGTTATGTTCGTAAATCATCCCAATCTCGAGCAGAATACGATTGGCCAATGGGAATAGAGGAATCCTCTTGCATTGATTGGTTAATCAGACGATGCTAAACTCCGAAGGCTAAACTTTCGAACGCTTGAAAAATATTTCGGCGGGATATATAATGGCAGGTTATATCGATATAGCGATGTATAAATAAGATTACTGAGGCATTAAAATATTAAGGAGGACATTAATAAGGGTAGTACTGAAATACGATTGTTGAATTCTATTGAAGGATAATATCTGATTCATCGAAATTTAATCAGACGCATTTTTGATTCGTTGTCGCGCAAAATCTTTTATACATCATATAAATTAATACAATCGAAACAATTTGTTTAGTTTATACATCATGTTAATACGTACTTATTCTATAGAAAATATTCACTCGAGATGGGTAAGAAATACATACGCAAACGTGGAGCAGTCGCAATTCGTCTAATCTCGTCGGAGGCGTCCAGCGAAATGGCCGATGATACGGAGTAATGACGTCACGCATTGTTGCCGCGGGCGGAAATTCCTTAGCGTGCGCCGTGTTTTTGACGCTTTAGAGGTCGAGTTTACCTCTACGCTTCGTACGACTTTTTCTCATGCGTATACCTTCAAAAATATGTATCAATATCTATCTCATCTGTGTTTTATATTTAATTGATACGTTTTAGTTATATTGATATTAACTATTTTCTTACTTTTCGTCCATTCAAAAATTGAATACTTATCTTATATTAGATGCAAAGAAAACAAATATATTTTCTGTATTGTAAATTATACTAAATGAAAATATGATAAAGATAATAACAATCACAGTTTTTTTTGCATAAACTGAAATGATTAATCAAATATTTAATACAAAATTTAAGGAATAAAATATTCTAGTAGCTTACTAATGTATAAACAATAAATTCAAAAATATATACTGTTGCATATGTGCCCGAAAAGCTTCATAAATATTTTCTAATAATTATTTTCTAAAACATATTGATATATTTATATTATAATATTATATTATATATTCTATTAATCATAATAATTATATTAATATACGTGTATTAATAATTCATTCGTTAAAAAAGATATTCATTTATTATATTGTTAATCATGTAATTTCTAATTATAATTTCGCAAAGTTAGTGACAACTAACAATATTAATAAAAATATTAATATTAATTTTATTTATATTTTATTAAGATATTATTATATTCAATTTTTTATCATATACATATTATTAAAATATAAAAAATATACATATATACTATTTATATATTTTAATTATACGTGTTTTTATTTTATGGAAGAGATACTATGTGGTTTTTCTTTACAAAGCGATATTGATGATAATGAGGTGCACTTATATATCTTATCTCGTTTACGAATTTAAGTGCCTCGTTACGCGACACGATTTCGCTGAAAGAGTAATATTACTTCTCTCTTTCTCTTAGTTAAAAAAAGATCACGCCGAAAATAAGCATGCGTACACGTGCGTGCGATTTTTCGAGGAAGATAAGTTGCTGAATCGGTCGCAACCACGCCTTGTTCTCGGAGTCCTTGCGAAGAATGCGTGAAGCCGTTGCAATTGCATCACAGTAACGGAGTGCAATGGCGCGTGCATGCATTGCACGTTGTGAAAGACAAAGGGATACCGCTCATGCAAAGAAAGACCGCAAAAAGTAAAAAGAGGAAAAAACAGAAGCGGTGAATGTTCTGTAGAGAGAAAAAAGTAAAATTATATTATTATTATTATTATATATAGAGAAAATTATATTATTATATATATATAGAGAAAATTATATTATTATATATAAGAGTTGCCTTAAAAATTTTATATTTATTTATTACATATTTAAATGTAATATTAATATTTCTAATTTGATTAATTTTCTAATACGATTAGAAAAATTCTGTAAAAAAAATTTTGTTTCCTTTAGAGACACACATTTCTGTATAAATTTCTTTGCTTGTCTCTGCTTTGCTTGTTTTGGCAATCTTGGTTAATTTTAATACATTTCTTGACTTTTTTATATATTAATTAATTGATTTTTATATATAAACTTTTATAAACTCTTTCTCCGATCAATTCTCTGATATGTTTGTAAAAATTACAAAGTATATTGCAAATCCTACCACTGACTCTCACTTTCTGACCGGTGAAAACTGCAAGCATGCCGCCACTTACATCAAGATCTGCATCTTACGTAAGTGCAACATAGGATCGGGTCCGGTCGCGTCGTTTGTTACGTCGTCTTGTGCATACACGTCGATCCGATCGCCGAAAATAATACGTTCACGTCTTTTTTATCCGTAATACCAAAAGCTACTCTTACCGGTGAATAACGCGAAAGTAAAATCTTATAAAAAAAACTTGATCATCCTGGATAAATAACTTGAATAATAAATCCAAATTAAAATTATTTAAATATATTCCTTTTACTTATTTTTCTTTTCATTTTATTTAGATATTTTAAGTACATTTGTAGTATATAAAACATGATAAAATTAAAATTTAAAGTCTTTGTGGTATACGAGAAAAATATAATAATATCAAAAATTATATTTTCTCTTTAAATAAGTTTTTATTTCCAATTTTGATACACTAATGTTTATCATAATTTTTTGCAGATAAGATAAATTTGAACAACAAACAATAAAATAACTTTTTTTTTATTAAATTAACGTCTCTTTAGTTTTAATATAGTATAATATAATAATAATAAATTTACCAATAACACTATGACTAAGTTTTGATTACATCTCGATACAAATGCTGCGACTAGGTTCGAAACATTTCTCATTGTGTCGCCAGTTCTTTTGTAATCTGACATCGAGAAGTATGGCTATTAACAGCGTGACATGTTTCTCATTACAAAATCTCTCGCAAATATCCTGGGGTCTCTTGCGTGTGACACATAATTATCGTTGAAGCGATTTTTTTAAGCTTGAGCGAACACACAATGACGTAGTCTCTATACACACGTATATTCACACGTATACTCACACGTATACTCACACGTATACTCTATCACACACTTATTGTCTTTTGTAACGTACGTTTACATGTTGCTGGCATCCTGCCATTGATCTCACGTATTTTGTGATCAAAATGTAATCCTGTATAACAATGTGATCTCGATTACAAAGTAAAAAAAGTCGATTACAATAAAAATTATAAAGGCAAATCTTGTAATGATTTTCGTATTGAGTTGTTATAAAAGATTAATTAATTTAAGTAATAATAAAATCATATTTTCTGAAATATTCTGAAAAACGCCTAGAAAGAGTTAATTGTTAAAATAAGAAAAAGCATCTCTTATTATAATACCTTATTATATCTATTTGCATTTGATTAATTTTCCACAGATAATGTACCATTTATTTTCTCTCATCTATGACATGGCAAAGCGAAACATTGTTGCTGAGACGTTAATGTGAAATGGCATAACCGATTAAGATTGAGAACCAGGCTTCTCTGACCAGACAGAAGAAAATAATGCTTGGTGTGTCACCGGGGAAGTTCGTAGTCGCTCTATGATATTTTTTGACCGATATTACCGGATCCGTATTAGACATAAATGCGAGCTCAACCGTGAAAAACAGGCTTTTCTGACTTCATGCACGGGCGATTTCGAACACATAAGAAAAGCTGGATTGATGTAATTTATCTCTGATGTATCTTCGACACGAAGGTGTGTTCAATTTGATAACCTCCAAGAATTACATTTAATTAATCAATAGATTATCAGGTATCAAGCCATTATAGAGCTCGATTTATGTAAGATACGTTTGTCTAAATATTTTAATTATACATTCTATCTATTATATAATTCTACATATTACAGCAGATATCAGAGTATATATGTATATAATAATTATTATAAAAATCACATTGAAGTTTCTCTTTTATATTTTTATGAATTTTTAAGATTATATCACACATATTCTATCGCATATGTTCTACTTGATGTAATCGCAATCCGGAAAAATAATGAAATATTAAATTAATATCAAACAGTAAAGCTTCTTGTATCGAAATTTATGAAAATGATATGAATGGTGACTCGAGTCTCCTTTCTTCAATAAATAACCTCAATATACTTTTACATCGAATCTCTATGATTTTTCCTGGATTGCACAACATTGATCAAGGTTAATAAATTTTAAAATGATTTATTAATTTAATAATACATATGTAATATTTTATAATACACAATTTTATAATATTTTATAATACAATTTTACAAATTTTATAATATTTTATAATACAATTTTGCAACATACAATAATACACATAATATAACATTATACATTTTTATTTTATATATTCTATTTAAGAGTAAGTTTGATTTGAAGAAATACTCTTATAGTACAACACAATATAATACAAATCATCTAGATATAATATGATGGTAATAAAACATCGCGTGAATAATGTCTATTTAATAAAGATATTATAAATGTTGAAATATCAATAGTCCTTGAAACAAGTTAAATGTATTGTAAAATGAGTGACTTTTACTATCTTTTTACAAAGTATCGTGCGCTTATTTTTTTTTTATTTTAAATTTTTTTCATAAAAATACCAATTATCCTATGCAAATCATTAATTATCCATATTTATGTTATTATCTGTCATAAAAGCATGGTAATAACAGCATAAATAATAAGATTATCAAATCGATCGTATCGCTGATATTTACATCACCAATATGTCAATCGCACATAAAAACGAATCATTAACACAACGATTGATGAAATCGCAAATATGTCTGCATGTTCGATAAATAATGTCTGATATGCACAATATTATGCATTATTATCAATTTAAGGAAATTAAATGCATTTTAATGATTGCATAGATTTAAATTACTTTTAGAGATTATTATTAGTTTATTAAATTAATTGTACTTTCCTATAAAAACATTTAGTTAAAATTTTTATCTGGCTTTAAATCGGATCTAATTTCTTTTAATAAAAAACGAAAATAATAATAATAATAATAATAATAATAATAATAATAATAATAAATTTAAAATAATTATATTTTTTAATTACGATGCCATTTCATTTCATTCTATAGATATTATTGTGTAAAACGTAGGCAATTTATTTGACTAATCGCAATAAGCAATAACTATTAATATGGATTTACTTAATATAGATTTTAAAACGAGCATTAGATAATGCGATTAATCAAAATGGGCGGCATTAGATTAGTGAATTGAGCTGCATTCTGAGATCAAAGGTACACAAATGAGACAAGAGAGCGATTGTGTGACTGCTACAAATTGCATTCATGCAGAGAGCGCTAAGTAATCATAGGGGACGGTAAAACCGATCCTTTCCCGAATAGCGTGTTGGATATCTCTATTATTGCGTTATCAAGCAACACAATACATGGATTAACAACTAAAATCTTGTCTCGCGAGAGCAGAGATTGACAACATGCAATTATTCTAACAGTCGGAAGACTGTCTTGATTGGATAAGTTACATAAATAAATTATTACTAATTGAGGGAGAAAAAAAAAGACAATAAATCTTGTAATATTTAACAATGTTTAAATACAGATTATTATGCATTATTTCAAAGATTTATTATTAATCTCAAACATATCTATTGCATCTAAAGTTAACTAAATTTTGCGATATTAAACTATGTATTATAATAAAAAATACAATTAATAAAAGTTTGTAAATTAAAATTTCAGAAATAATTAAAAAATTATTTAAAACTAATAAATTAAAAACCTAATAAATAATAAATTAAAAATATCGAGCATAAAAATGTCAGGTTGAATAACGAAAAGAACAAAAAAAAAGCTAATTTGATGATTTAAATCGTCGCTCGTAAAATACAAGAGTGACTTTTTAGTGGCGTTTGGAGAGTGTGCTCGTACCGAAAGACAAATGAACATTAAATCAGGAAACTGTTTGGGCGTAGAAAACCGGTAGAGAACCATTTTGCGTGCCAATGTGACAGACCCAATCGCTTAACCATGTCGGAATGTTATCTCCGGATTGTATTTATTGCAGTCGCAATTGAAACAATTCCCTGTTGCTTTTTCGAGTAATGCAAAGCATTTTCTTATTACAGAAATTATCGCAAATATCAGGTATAATTTGTTTTTATAAAATATATTCACGTAATTAATGTAAAATTCTCATATAATTCTTCTCTCGACTATCGTAATGTAATTACGATTTACACCTGATACAGGAGTAAATGAATAATTATTTTCTCTAGAGAATAATAAAATCACCGTAAATCAATCGGCAAGCAAGGGATATAATTATTGTAGGTCAATTAGCAGGCGATTCAAGCCGATAAAGGTAATTTTTATTGGCTTAAACCAACATAACAGTCTCTCGCGCAGATGATGATGATAACGCCAGCAGAATTGCTACCTTACAGACAACCTGCACCTTGTGTAGCACGTGACTAATGATAGTGCATGGCAATAGAAGACACCGTGGTGCATGATTTATATTAGCGCGGCAAAGTCGAGTGTGCTTTACCTGGTAATGAAGCATTGAGCAATCTTACGCAAATCGACACAGTTGCCGGACATAGACGAGGGTAATTCGCTTGTTACAATTAGTATTGCGCCGTGCATGCGTTGCGTTAAATAGAAATTCGTTTTGTTTCTTATCTATATATAATATCTCATTGTGTTCGATGATGTAAAAGAGGTTTGAGAAAATACATTTATTAGAACTATGGCGTCTAAAATCGCTCCAATTATTACAAAGAAATATATGCGCATACTTTCTCTACGTATATCGTTTATATATCATTGTCGTTATTATATTACGCCGTTAATAATTAATTGTTGTCGACTATAATAATTATATATTCAATTGCAATATTTTAAACTGTAAATAACAGTACAATTAAAATAAAACTATTTGAGAGAAATTAGCTACAAAATATAATTCATTAATTTTATTTATTAATTATAATCTTGAATTAAATTATTAAAATTTGTCTCTATTTTTCTATTAAGAAGATTTCTTAATCTTCAATTTTCAATCCTCGAGCTTTCAAAGAATCTTAAACGATATCCAATAATTTTGACGTGCCATTTATCATCTTATAAACGACAATGTAAAAAATTTGATCGAATTTTGTTTCATATTGCTTCAATTTTATAAAAGACTTCGAAACAGACGTACATGACGTCATAGTTGAAATGAGTAGGTCTCTCGGCAAATGGAAAAATAATGTCGTTAAAGCTGCTGTATCAAATCGTACTCACACTTGTACGTATATCTGCATAAAGTCGCCAAGCGTATGCTCCATTTACTTACTGGTGGCTCGCGCACGTTTAGTATGTTATACAACCACTGCACATTATGTGTTATAATATATAGATGTATATGTGTATGTGTATGTGTGCCGACGTGATATATCGTGAATAAATAGCGTTAGATTCTAAGTAGGTGTGGCGATAGACCAATCGTTGGCATCCTTCGCTATTGGCGGGGTGCAGGGTGTGCAAAATGAAAGTCCATTCCCTATATAAAGGGTGGTTTTCCAGCACGACAACGATAGAAACCGATCTATTTTACTTACGCGCGAGTATCGTTCACGCCAAAATATCACTCAACATGAGGACTCTGGTATGCACATCTTCAATCAAAGTTGAAAACAGTTGTAACTTTTATGGAAAAAAATCCGATGATATCGCTGAGATCAATTTGATTTTATTGAGAAAATTTCCCTTTTCTGAATGTAAAATCAAACAAATTGTTTAGTTCGAAATTTACAGATCATTGTGTCGATCTAATTTTCCATTTTCCCGTACCTTTTTATAGTGCTTCTTTATCAAAACTTAACATTCGTAAATTAGATGCAAAGATCGACTTCTAAAAATGATTAATTTTTTCGATAATAAATGATGATTGATATAATTATTCGTTTATTAATATTGATCCATTTCGATCGGAATTATTTTAAAAATTAAGTAAAATAAATTATCATCTTAAATACACATCACGCGTTATAATATGCAATTTTATTTTTCATTTAATATATGAGTAACTTCTCTAATATTTTCAGTTTTGATTGTTTCTATAGATTTTCGCGATGAAAATTAGATTGGATAAAAGTTTCAATAATAATTATTTATCGATCTTGAAAGATCCATTCATTCATAAATTTTGATTCAAATCTTTTTATTAACATGTTTTTGTCTTTGAATAATTATAATTGACAATTTCTAATAATTGTTAATTTACGCATAATTGTTCATCTATTTCTCTGGTAATCACCTGTAAATATTGATGTCCGTTATAATTGTTATTTTACAAATTTGCTTTTCTTTATTTTTAATTAATGTTACTTTTTTGATGTTACGTAGATCTGCTTGATGCTGATCTCTGCGGTATTTGCCGCTGAAGAAAAAACGGTCCAGAAGCGTGGCGTGTATGGTTATGGTGGATATGAAAGTGGATATGGTGGATATGGTGGATATGAAGGATATGGTTATGGTGGATATGGTGGTGGATTAGAGTACGACAAGAAGAGCGTCATCGTTGCCGTCCAGGAGAAGCCTGTCCCCTACGCTGTTCCGCACCCAGTTGCCGTTCCAGTTGATCGTCCCTATCCTGTTAAGGTAAAAATTAATTACTTTAATTTGTCGTAGCAATATAATAATAATTATAATTACTTCATTTTCTTGCTCAAATATATACATTTTTAAGTTATAAAATTTATTAACGATTTATAAACTATTTTATAATAAAATTTATGAATTATTTAAGCAGTACAAATTAGACAAGTACAATTTAATATATTTAAATAGCATAAATATTAAATTTTAATCATTATAAACAACATATTAAATTCTTAATCGAGTACAGTTTTTGAAAGTTTTTATTTGTTTTGATTAAATATTAATATAAATATTAAAAAAGAGGGAAAAAGAGGAAATAGAAAATATCTTATTAAACACTCCAGCAAAGAGCTAGAAAATCAAACGAGAATTTTGTAATTTATTTTAACAAATGTGTAATTTTAGTTTTTGACTCCTTTGTTATCTCTTGCAGGTTCCAGTCCCCGTTCCAGCGCCATATCCAGTTATTAAGACGCAAACGGTCACAGTAGAGAAGCCAGTAGAGAAGCCAGTCCCGTATCCGGTTCCTGTCAAGGTGCCCTATCCAGTTGTTGAGACGAAAACTATCACGGTTCCCGTAGAGAAGCCAGTTCCAGTCGAGGTTCCTGTAAAGGTTCCAGTTCCATATCCCGCCCCATACCCAGTTAAGGTAAACTGAAATAAATTCTACTTTTAAAAAATAATCTACTTTGTAAATAATATATATTTCTATATATAATAGTGTTGTTGGAAGATAAAATATTCGGAGATAAAAAATTTTACAAAAGATAAACGAATTTTGAAGAATCAATATAAAATTTATATTGCTAAATTTTTAGAAAAATAAATATCACCTTTCGAATTCTAACGTAATTTCTGATAAGTTCTAGTTTATTATGTTAATGTATCATGTCTCATTATAATTCTTCAGCTTCTGAATGCAACAAGTAGAAATCGATTTCGAGACAGCGATTACAACAACCTTGTTGCGAGTTCTCGCTTCGTGATTTAACTAATTGACTGACTGCATTAATTGATTGGTATCTGGGTTTGGTATGTTGTGATAAGGATCATTGATTTCGTCGTTTATACAGGTGTTACACGATTAGACAAACGCACATAAGGAACATATAATCGATAGTAAGACAAATGTGTTATTCTACAATCGCTGTTTTAATTAAATTATAATGAAAATTATGCTTAAAACCGTATCGCATAATAATAGTAATTGATAATTGAAATATCGCTCGATCGATGTAATGATCGTAAAATATCGTAATTATTCCTTTATTATGTAAGAAGATTAATTCGCTCTTTATAAGCTATGAATAATATGTTTATGATTATGGAAAGTATATTATATACATTACTCGTTACATTATTTTTATATTATTTATATTTGTACTATTTATATTAGTTTTATTAATTGTATTGAAAAAATTAATGTTATATGTTTCTATTTAATTTGGTAAATTTAATATTTTAAATACTTCAAAAAGGTGTGATTAGCATAAATAATAGTCTGATCGATTCTTAGAAATATATAGTTATTAAATTAGGATATAATATATTAGGATAATTTTTTTTTGTATTTCTTAATTATCAATTGATCTTTCGTCATTTTCTTTTTCAGGTTGCAGTACCCCACCCAGTCCCAGTTGCAGTCCCACACCCAGTTCCATATGCGGTTCCACAACCGGTCTACGTCAAAGAAACGGTTCCCGTCTATGTTAAGGGTCACTACTAGATGAATTTTTTTCTCTAAAAAAAAGTCATATACACACCACTCTGCTCCATTTCGCGATCTCTCTTTCCAGCAGCATAAAATCCATCACGAAGAGCGTCCGAGCAAAAGACGTTTTTTTCTATCGTGTAATATCTTGAATCCTCGAAATAAATCAATTTTGTAAATGTTTTCATAAAGAAACTACTACGCCAACTACTTTTTTTCTTGCACCCAAAACTTATTCTTTATGTCAAAATATCAGCTGAAACATAAAACTTAATAATCATATTATATCATATTAAAATTTTGATATTAAATCTTTCTAAATAATTTTTTTTAAATTAAACTAAAGAAGATCTATTAAAACTTTATAGGAATTAAACAAAAATATTTTAATAGAAAATTTAATAGAAGATATAAAATTTTTATATTTTGTTATTAAAAGAAAGATTAAATTAATAGAGATTGCTTTTATATATTTGTTTATTAAATTTATAGACAATATTTTATTAAATTTGCATTTTTCATTAATTAATTATTAATTAACAGATATATGTATTATTCTATTGCAATCTTATATTTATATTGTATATTTATATTTATATTATATATCTTATATTTAATTTTGTGTATAATATTATTACATATATCTAAGATCAAGCGTTTAGCATTTCTCTAAGAATCCAAGATTGAACTATTTTTGTAGGACATTCTATTGCGTTTTTAGCATAACGCAATCATTTCTAGAAACCTTAAATATAGGAAATTAATTAGAGTCAAGGTAAGCGAATTGTGCAAGTCGCAAAGTAGATTTATACTGGAGATAGTTTTGTATCCCGTATAATTTTTATTATATGAATATACATATATATATATATATATATATATATATATTCATTATTAAGTTTTTATTATATAAAAATACATACCCGTATAAACTATATAAAAAATATATCATAATACATATATATTAATTTTCAAGCAATGATGACAAGATCAATACAAGCTTGGCTGAAAACAGCGTTATTCTAGAAAACACTTTTGATTCTCTTTTTTATAAATTTATCGATTATAGTGTGTGTGTGTGTGTGTGTGTGTGTATGCGTGTGTGTATGTGAAAATAAATCCCGATTCATAACATAAAATTAGATATGCGTGTTCTTGCCGCGCTTGAAAAATATTAAAATGTTTGTTACATTTACACGGCATTAATCTGACATACTAGACGCTTTTTGCGTAATAGGGATTTAATTATCCACGCGCGCACGATTTCTGCTCAGATCTCATATTATCTCAGGTCACTTTTGCTACTTGTCTTGTCATTTCGCAACAAGACTTCGCACTTGGTTTTGTACTCCGCCCAAATATACATATACCTGCCTTTCACGCTCTCTCGATCTATTTATATGTGAGAAACGTGAGAAACAACGTCCTTAAACACCATGAAATAGGGAAGAGGCATATTACAACAGTGTTTGATTGTAAAACTGGTACATACAATTTTGGCAACATGTTCCTTTATTTGACCATAAGCAGTTTACCTTGATTAGAAATAGAATGGAATGTGAATGGCAAATTTAGTAAGTTGATCAATGCTCCAAAAAGTATATTTGTTGTATCTGAAAAATGAAGCTAATAAATGATTACTTTCAAATTATCACCATTAAATATATTTCAATCAAACAAAGCCAAACAAATTAATCGAATTTTATTCTTACTTAAAAATATTTTCATAAATTATTCAAAGCTATTCTATCTTTTAATTTCAGTTTTAATTTCTCTATAATTTTTTAACCTTTTTTTAATTTTAATTTCTAATCTAATTTTAACTTTAAAATATTTATTTTATTCTTTTAAATATATATATATATATATATATATATATATATACACTATTCTTGTTTTAATGTACAATAATTATTATCTGTCACCTGTTACTGATAATTTTTATTGATTTGTTTTATTAAATGCAAATGTTGTTTTTAGCAAAGTTGATTGAGCAAACATTTGTTCTGATGGAAAGAAAGTTTCAGTTTATGTGTCATATCTTTTCGAATACAAAACTACATTTTATTATATAATACCGAAATTGTAGATGTACTGAAAAGAATTTCGAAAGCTCCAAGGATTTTAATTTATAAACATTTTATAATTTATCAATTTTACAATCTTATACAAGGTATATCATTTCTCTTCAGATTTCTCGAATATTGTGAAAAATCTTTTGATTTTTCTCTGATAAATTTGCATTAATTTAAAAAAAAAAAGATATTATATTATTTTTGTTGGAATTTTAAATGCATAATGAAATGTGAACAACGAAATGTAAATAAATACTTGCATATACTTACGATTACTTTGAAATGAAAAAAATAAACGTTATTGTATTGTATAAAATCTGCATCAATTTTTAAAGTGACCGCGGAATGTAAACAAAATTAAGGAACAATTCCTCATTATACATTTCTATATATTAATAGTAATTTAATAGTAATTTCTATATATTAATAGTAATTTCATATTGTCTTTATTTTTCAAAATAACTAATAAAATTATATATATGTATATGTAATTTTTTCAAATTTTTTTATTAGTATTATTTAATATAATTTATATGTAATTTAATTTATATGATATATAATTTAATTTTACTTTGATTAAAGAACTATAATTTACTTGTAAAAACGTACATATTAAGAAAACATAAGAATACACATATAATGTAACATATAATGTAAGATTAAGGCTGCGGTCTGGAAGACGCTGTGGATGCTTTGAAACATCATTCTATCTTTATTCTCATGGAATGTAGAACAAAGCTAAAAATCACGCAGCCTAAAAATCACAAATATATGAAACAAAATACATGAAACAATCTATAATTGCGGTAATTCAGCACAATGACGCAAATCTAAAGAAGACAAACAAAAGCTTTCCCGTAATATGTTTCTTGCTACTTGATTTCGAGGACACGGAGTTGACTTTCTTTCTTGAATGGCGTGAAACGTACCGCCTACATAATGAGCTCTCGATTACATCAATTTACATAACAATGACGAGACACCTGATTCTTGACGTATTGTATTTAACAATTATAACTTATATGTAGTTTGATAACTTTGTGCCCCTTACAAGTACATTTTTTAAATCTTTAAAATTTATTGATGAATGTAATTATATTTGCGCGTAATACTTTTCTATTCTTTTTATATTATATTAGAATACAAATTTAATTTTATATTATATAATTTCTATAAATGTTAGATAAATATATAAAAAAATTATAAATTATTTTTTATTTGAAGAATCATATTTTTAACTTTTAATTTCTTATCTTTGTTTTTACATTCTGCGCTCTGCATAAATAATTATTAAATAAAATAAATAAATTTTTATAATAAATTTGATAAATAATTAATTAAAAAAAACTGCGTGCGGAAGAAAGAGAACGTAAAAGCAGTGTAGAAATATTGACAAAGATTTAAGTTGGGCCTTATCGATTCGAAGAAAGTGGAGCTTGTATAATACAGATCGTATGCACTCGATGCAGAATGCGTACACACGTACATATACATTGAAGTGATATGCATAATAACCGGTGCGAGACGCACAAAACGTGGAATTTTCGGCGATTTCGCTGGGCCCGGTCTGTCAGGGGCCTGGTACCCGCGATTATGCAATCGTTATGAGCGAATACTCATTTCGTACTCGTAACGAATGATATGACCAGTTTCCGGTGTGGAAATCGAAGACGGTTGCAATTTATGCAATTTACGAACACCCGTATTTCTCTCCAACCCGGAAATTGCTGGTTCAAAGATATTAACTTGATCAGTGGATCAGACTCATTTTTCGATTAATAATATCGCCATTCTCTTTTAGTTTTTAAGATAAATTTTTTATGATAATTTATCTAATCTTTAATTTTAATGTATTTAATCTGTTCTAAGAATATTTTAATTGCTTAATTTCTTTAATATACATTATAACATACATTATAACATTTGATTTTACTTTGTAGGGATACGCTTTATACTTGCATAATTATCTAAATAAAATAAAATAAATAAAGGACGTGTACGATTATTAGTTTAATTGAAATATATTAACATTGTATAATTAGTATGCAGCAATAGAAATTAAATTACTAAAATAGACTAGTCCGCTAACAGGTATCTTTGTCTCCCGCAGTATCTTTTCGAATAATACTGCAAGATTTATGATGAACGAAATGGCTAGAGGTTGAGCATAAATTTTCGTGAGAAAGCGCCGTTCATGAAATTTATATCATGCATCTCGATCATTCTTTCTTTCGATAGTCAAGAAGTTAGTTCATCTATAAGAAACGAGCCGTTAGCGCCGGCCTCGATAAATGTCACATGCAAATTCGGATCACTCGTAGTATCAGCAACATCATTTCAGAATTACTGGACGACCTCTTTTTCTCAAAAATCCGGGTTCGAAATGTCTATTATTTAATTGAAATATTCTCGTTTTCTCGTAATGATTAATATAAAATTTTTCCCGTATATATAAATTGTACCAATGTATAAAAATTAACATTTTATTAATTTCCTAACATCTTGAAGAAGTAACAAATTAAATTTAATTATAGACAATTTTTGAATATATTTTATCATACTTTGTCATTTTCATATATTTAATAATTCATTATTTTTCTTTTAATTAATTAATTAATGTTATTTAATTTAATTTTATTATATTATAATATATATATACTTTACTTTATATTAAGTTTTATATACTTTTTAATATTTATGATTTGATTTATTTTATTTATTCAAGCTTCTATACGAACTTAGTTGCTTCAAAGTTTTTTATACATATATTTAAATATTTGAAAATTATTAATACTTTCTTTCTTTATACTGTATAAATATTTTAATAACTTAATTTTTAAAAAATTCATTCTAAATAGTGTTTCTTGAAAAAAAGTTGTTCTCTTGAAATTAATATGCCAATTCTCTTCAAAATGACTTTGAATAAAATATAACAGCAAGAAGATATAAATTGTATTTAATATATCTTCCAAAAACAGTTTTTAAAATTAAAATTGACAATTTTAAAACATTTTATATAAAAAATTTTATATATCGATAAGAAAGAATCAAATCATATACACTCATCAATCTTACTTCGCAAGCCATGTAATTTATGAGTTTGTTTGTGAATGCATTAATCGTTTGAATAGCAAGCCAATATATAATATTAAATCTATCTTAAATGAGTCTAGACTATTACAAACGTCTTTCGATCGATTATTAATGTTCGCCAATTGGTGGAAAGATCACAAATTTATATTTAAATATTGACATCACACGACGAAAATTATGGAGGAATGTCGATTTAGCTGCATTCCTTAATCAATATGTCATCGATTAAATATATAATATGACTTATAAAAATCTTATTATATATATATATATATATATATATATATATATATATATATATATAGGTTTGTCATTTTTAGTTAATCAAACAGATACTAAATCAATCTTGTTATATATATATATATATAACAAGATTGACAAATTTAATGTTTTACATAATAAAAGTATCTTATAAAAAAACGAATTGTTTTTGTCTCTATTAGCCTTGAAAAACTTTTTACTAATATAATGTTTCTTTATTCATTACACAAAATTATTTAAATTATCCAATTTCGCTTTTTTCATGCCTTTATCTACAGAATCCTCGAATGATTTATATAAAATCATGTTTTATTTAACGAATATTTAATATGGAATATATTTAATATCTTTAATAATATTTATCAAAGCAGTTGGCCTTCGACAACCAAAGTTCAGCATCTAACTACACATAAGATTAATTGTGAAATAAAAATTATTTTTTTCCTTACTTACAATTTTAATTCTGTGACGTAGTGCTGTGACGTAGTTTGTCGGATATCTCTCGATCTCGTTCGCACTTCATTGCCCCTACGATATATGTACATAAATAAATAATCTGCATAAACATCTACCCACGTTTTTTAGCCGAAACGAATTCTTCTCATGAATTTTTCTTTCTTTGTTAATCCGTCAATAAGAAATCCTGACTAATTAGTATAAATATAGTCGCATGCACACGCGCACGATGAGAACAAAATTATGAGCAACGAAACGTATAATGTTTTTATTTTGATTTCATCTTATTGGTCTCACGATCGTTAAAATATCTAAATTCATTTAAATAGCGGCGTGGCCTTGCATGCCGCGATTTTGACGCCATCCGGGAATTCACAAATTAGCTTAATGACAATATCCTGATCCGATATATTTCTCTTCTCTCTTATTATTTAACATAAGTTAATATAAGTAAGTATTCCAATGCTGTAATAATTTTAGATAAGTAACTGCATTTGTCTATAAGAGAAGTATATACTAATAATACCTTGTCACAATCTTCGCGAATTTTCTGAAACTGGCCAGACAGGTGAGGCCAATTAACGTGCGGAGAAAATGTGTGAAGCTGCCCAAAAGTCGAACAACTTTCGGTAATAGCATGGTTTAACTTGGAAAGAGAATATTGGCTTCTCATAAAATTCATAAATTTTATAAGCACCTCTCAAAAAGATACGAAACAAAGGAAATAGGCAGCTAAGGTCGTCAAATTTTATGACAAGAAATAAAATCACAAAATATGGAATAGATGTGGAATAAATGGAAATTTTTTATCATGAACATGAAAATTATTTCACGGTCATATTTTGTATGGTTTCGAGATTCATCTAAATATTCAAAAGTTATAAAATATTCTATATTAAGGATATTTAATAGTTGTCACTCATGGCCATAATAAAAACTGTTTTTAATCCTAAAAACTGATGGATTAACTTCTTTATATTATCTTCTGCGTATTTTTGTATACTTTAGATTTTATAACTTTTGTATTTTTTATACATATTTCATATTTTCCATGTAATATATTATTCTATTTTATAAAAAAGATACATATTTTTACATATTTTTAATAACTTTATACATACATATTATAATTTTATATTATAATTCTATTTCATATAATTCCTCTTTATTTGTTTACCAAATAAAGCCGTGAAAAGATTCTTCTGAATCTTTTTATTTTATTCCAATAATTTTTCTTCAAAATTTATGGGATCTGATCAAACGCATATCTTACACCTGTCTTCTTTTTTCATGAAGAAAATGAGACATGGTCTTGTTACGTGGTAATAAACGACGCAATGATTTATGAGTGCGAGAAATCCAGGCGCAATATTGCGCGATGCGCGCAATATTATTGTGTCATTTCTGCCAAATAATTAAGTAATTCATATTAAGAATCTCTTAAGAGACGCACATAATATTTTACGTCTTTTATTTTCAATATACTTATTGATAGTTGACAATTGATCGCATTAATAATTTTATATTAAAAGCGATCATTAAAAAAAATGAAATATCAAGTAGTAATTAATCACATATAGATATGTATAAAGATTACATATAATTATATATGTAATTACTCTTTTACATATGTACTTACATATAATAATTTTTATATATAGCTTATTGTGTATAATTCTAAATAATTTAGTAATTTATTACTAAATTATTGAGATTACTAATAAAAAGAAACAAATTTTAATCAAATTTTATTAATAATAAAATAATGAAACTCATAAAAAAATAGGACTTACTAGAGTAAAAAAGTATTTTAATATTTTAATACAAACTAAATAAAAAAAGGAAATAAAAAATATTGTAATATCATACACTTGTGTATATTTTTTTAAACTTTTTTATATGCGAAAAACCGATTTGATTCACACGATTTACAACATGATTTCACTTGCGAGTCTTATTGCTGATGATTGGTCAACAGAACTAAACTCATTATTTATTTTATATTCACAGATTTTCAATTATAAAGTCGGGTAAACACGGAATTGTGCAACAGATGATTGAGAGAACACCCAATGTAAGCGATCGTAATCGTGAAACAAAAATTGAATCGGCATTTAGACTCACGTCAGGCCGTATAAAAGCTATTTTACGCCTTTCATATTCGTCGAAATAATGTACTTAAAAAGAATTTAACTTTATATCTATTGGAAATTTATATAAAAAGTGATTTCTTTTTAATTTAAAACTTTTTAATTTAATATATATATTTTTTTTTCATTTATTGTATATATAATGTATAATATTAAATGCTTTAAATTTTAATTAATGATAACAATTTTTCTATGATTACTACACGATTATAAGTGTGATTTGATTACATAAAATTGCAAAAAGAATAAAATTATATAAATACTTTTTTTAATATTCTATAATAATATTCTATAAGTGTATTAATGTATTTATTAATCCATATCTATCTTTTACATTAATATAGAAAGAAAAATAGAGAAAGAGAGAGGGAGACAAATATAGAGCAGATTCTTCTCTAATCGATTTATTATTTTATAATTTTATATTTAAATTTATATATATAATATGATCTGAATGCATATAAAATACAAAAATAATATAAATATTCTTAATTTAATAAGAGTTCAAATTTTTATATAAAAAGTTTATATTTTTAGTTTCATATAAAATATATTTATACTTTCATAAAAGTTTTCTACAGACCGCGTAAAGGAGACTTAATGAATTTCGACGCGTGCGAGGTGGTGCATTTGCGCAAGACTTGCTTGCGAGCGGCGAGAAGAGTCGCGCGGGTGCGAGTTTTTCGGCAATCCCCTACTCGCTGGGCCCGGTTTCGGTTTCTTTTCACCTAACTGCGATTCGGCGGCAGGCCCGGTTACCCACCACTTCGTTCTCTTCTTGCCGTCTCTCCTTGAGGGTTCATCGTATAAAAGCACGAGGATCTTCAACGTGATCATCAGTCGTAAACACGACGAATTGTGTCGAAAACTCGTGCAGCATCATGAACAAGGTATAATCGGATTCGAGAGTTCTTTTGTAAAAATCATTTTCACAGAGAATATCATTTGAGATCTAAAAAGAGAGAGATTAGAATATATCTCAAACGGAGAATAAGAGAAAGATCAATAGTGCGCGACGGTGAAACGTGTGCTCGAAATCATCGATAAAAGTAGATGTTTTTGAAAATTTAAGAAATTTTAATTTATTATTAAATATAAATTAAATTAATTAATATTGATAAAAAATATTTATAATAAATATTTAATTTAATTTATTTTTTTCTTTATTTAGTATGTATATATATTAGACTAATATTGAAAAATTTGTTTACTTACTTTTTAACAGATTACATACCAAAATAACGAACAATTAAATTAATTAAAGTGTTATATATTTTTTTAATTATTTATATATTATTATATTAAATTTTGCGCAAAATTAAATTATGAAGAAAGAGAGAGAGAGAGAGAGAGAGAGAGAGAGAGAGAGAGATGATATACTAGTATATAATTATGCAATTAATAATATAAAATTATATAAATTTTCAAAGAAGAGTGCTAATATTCTGACTTTTACAGTTTGTAGTCCTTTTTGCCCTGGTGGCGCTCGCTTTCGCTGAAGAAGCGAAGACTGAGAAGAAAGTGGAAGCTACGAAGAAGGATAAACGGGGTCTATATGGAGCCTTGGGCTACGGTGGACTCGGCTACAGTGGCTACGGCCTCAGTGGACTCAGCACGTATTCGTCACTTCCGATCGACTTCAGCCCCAGCATTTCTACCGTCTTGACAAAGGAAGTCGCCGTACCTGTGCCCCAACCGGTCGCCGTGCCCGTCGAGAAGCACGTCCCAGTCCCCGTTAAGGTATCGATTCTTGTTAGACTACTCGCATTAGTTTACACGTGTAAAATGTGTAAAAACTTGTCAGTGACATGCACTTGAGGTGGCTCCTCTTCTTGTTTCGGAAAAAAAGATTTCTGAGATACATTTCTGAGAATTGATTTATTGGAAAGCGTTAAAAGAAAGTGAAGCAATTAACAAATGACTCGTTGGAGAACCATAATTTCATTACATCCACATCGATTTTTTAATAAAAAAATGACAATTACAGAGAATTATATACCTCCGAACTAAATAATGGCTTTTTCGCAATTAAAAATGTATAAAGTTGACCTTTCAAATTTTATGCAATATTAATGTACGTCCTTCCTAATTTATATACATATATATACTTTTTAATTTTGTTGTATCAAAATGCATGTTGTGTAATTTTTTCCAAATGCTATTAGTTTTATGAATTTTAGTTACAAAAACTATCTCTGGAGGAATTTTTTTAAATAAAACTGCATACGGTTAATTTCTGACATGACTCATGAAATTTGCATATACTCTGTGGTAACCCAGAGAAACTTTTGAAATATATGCATATTTATATGACAGTTAAACAAAGTTAGCAATCGCATAAAGAGAAATATTTTATAACAAGTAGAGCGTGATCAATGACGTCTTCGTTATGCATTCGCGACGCAATTCTTGTGTTGTTATCCAGTAATAATCTTGATTCATATATCCACATCTTAAACAAAGAAACTATAACTGCATTTAATGAAAAATTCATAATTAATAGATAATTTATTTTTCCTATTTAATAAGACAAGAATGAGTGGCTAGCAAAAAACACTATTTTTCACATAAAATCGATAGAAATTAATTTCTAATGTTTATTTCACAATAATGAATATCTAATTATAATGAATATCTAATTATAAATTATTAAATATCTAATTAATCTAAATAATCGTCTTTTTATATCTAGGTGCCCTACGCAGTGCCCGTCGATCGCCCGTACCCCGTTCACGTGCCCAAACCATACCCAGTCGAGGTCACCAAGCACGTCCCCGTCCCAGTAGATCGTCCCGTACCTGTTCCCGTAAGTGTTCCCGTCAAGGTTCCGTATCCCGCTCCATACGCCGTCAAGGTACCACAGCCCTACGCCGTTCCCGTCGTCAAACACGTACCGGTCCCGATCGCTGAACAGCCACTTGTCTACACGAAACTGAACACTGGTCTGGGATACTACGGCGGTTATTCTTCCAACTGGTAAAACGGCGATCCTAGCGAAGTTACCCCGAGCGACGTTCTAGTCGACGTCGTTTAAACGCCCGAAATGTCTTCAGTGAACTGTGAAGTTCGATAATTGATCTCCCTCGATGAAAAAAATACCTCCAGAGGAAGATGTACATATATTAATGCATGTTAATATATATCTTTCTTCGAGAGAGACGTGCAGTGTAGCTAAAAAGTGAATACATATCTCTCATTTCGAAAATTAACCGATCCTTTCGCGGATTTCCTTTGGGATTTCTTTAGAGTATTTCTTTATGAAGCATTTTTTTGTGATAGATAGAAAGAATGTCTTGTAGAGAGAAAGAGAGAAAAGAGCTTTCTCAGATTTCCAATAGAAAAATGAAAAAACATTTTCGCAATCGAATGCGATCGAGTGGGATTCCAATCATCAGTGTAACTATATACTTAAGTATACGTTTCTATCTGTAACTTTATTTGCTGAAATAAATTTTTTCTTACGAAAAGTATTCTTATCCTGTATTCTTATTCCCTCTTGCTATTCATTGTAATAACAATTTCTATTTTCAATTGGGAATTGTAAAAAATATTTGTTATTTATATTATGATGTAAACGATTATTTAAGGAAGAAGAATTGAAGATTCTTTATATTTTATTATTACATATTTTTATATATATTAATTTATTTATAATATTATTTATAATCTACTTATATATTGAATAAAAGCAATGTGCAACTTGATACAAGACAGTCTATTAAAGGCTCAACGCGATAATTAACTGAGGACACGTTTGACAGACAAATTAAGGAGCAATTTTTGGATAGCTAATTTCTTGCAGATTACGAGAACACGAAACAAGATTGAAATCCGTGTGCACGAAAGGGAAATTTTAAGGTCGCATTATGAGAGACTTATTACATGAAAGCGGCGGCGATGGTGAAATGTCCATTAAATGGAGAACGGGGACACATTAAACACGCGATTAATGGAATTTACATGCAGAGCGCATACCGCGCACGAAACGTACACGTATATCGTAAGCAATCCCGTTAGGTAAGTCCAAGTCTCACAATGCTTTTTTACTTCTGCTCGATAAAAAGTGTTGCAACTGAATATTTAAAGCTATATACAGGATACTCTGCGAAAAATAACAGATATAAAAATGAAATATGAAGAACAAAAAACATATAATGAGATATTATTAATATTTAGAAATGTTTTATTAAAAAATAAGATCATTATTTTATAACAATTTTATATATATAAAATAAAATCATTATTAACAATTTTATATATATAACAAAAATTTAAAACATCATAGTAAAAACATTATAGTAAAAACAAAAACTCAACATTTCTCAGACGAAAACTATTATAAACAAGGTATATACAACAATATATAATTTCGATTTAATTCTTAATAATCAATGATGAAAGCTGTTTTCTATAATTAACTTTGACAGAAATAATAACATAAAAGAGGAAAATCGTTATATTATATTTTTTTCTTCACTGTCATTCTTTTTTCTAAAAAGACTATTTAAAAGCATTATAATTCAAAGAGTTTAAAATTCGTGAATATATTTATGTTCCTGAAACTACCTTCATTATCCTTTAATTAAACCATTGAATAATAAAAAAGTTAAATTTGGTAAAGATTTAGTCGTAAAATTCTCAAGAATGTTTTACGACTCTACAAAATTTAAAAATCTTCTTATGTGTTACAGAAATATTTTACTATTAATTATCACAAATCAGGCATAAACAAGAGATATTAGCATTAATCATTAGTCAATAAATTTCACCTATATATAATTACTATACATAGATGACGATAATTTTCAATTGTGCACTCCACTAAAGATAAATTGTAAAAAATCGACATTTTTATAATTAATATTATAATCAAAATTGTAATTAATATTTTATATACATCTGTATACTTTTAAGAATAAAATTAATTTTTCATGAAACTTTTTATTCTTTGTTCTCTTTTAAATAAAGCTTATTAAAATAGTATATGTCTCTTCGTGATAATAAAAATAATTGCGACTATTGACTTTGGAAATTTCATATCAAAAATAAATTAAATTTCAAAAATCATCATTATTTGATATTTAATATTATTTCTACTTATATAAAAAAAATCCTATAATGTATCTGACTCAAACCGCTTTCAAAGTGATCAGTTTGTGCATATCATATTCAATGATTTACTTTTTAATGTATGTACTTTTCCTTTCAACAGAAGCCTACACCGCCATAATCGGCCAACCTATCGCATTTCGAAAGTTAATGATCCTGCGAGTAATCATACTGGGAAGGTTGAAAATGGGCTTGATTCTCGTTTTGCTGATCGTGAGTCGCTCCGTGGCCTTGAACGTTGACGGCATAGGAGTTATAGTTGACCGTTTCATGGCTGGCATGACCATCTCCAGCACCAGCTTCAACGCCACCTTCGTTGTGACTTGATTGTGGGAACGAGATCACCTTTGGTACCGCAACGAAGACTGGCTTAGTTAAAGTGACCGGATGCGGCACTGGGACCGGATGTGGCACGGGTACGGGTTTAGATACCAAGAGCGGCACCTAAATTAAATTAATTGTTTTTATTTGCAATTTTAGAATAAAATTACTTTCTTCAGCAATAAAAAAGAGCGCATATAAAATACACACATTACTGTTTATTGAAATTACAATACTAGAAAATCATAATTGTAATCATCGATTTTTTTGTCTCTTGTTATAATATTATCTTGTTATGTGAAAAGCCACAATTTTCGCAGCATAAATATAAGATAAAATGAAAATTATAAAATAATATTTAAAAAATAAATTCTATAAAGAGTTTTATATATTTCGAACATCTTCATATATTTCGATTTTAATGTAATAGAAATATGTAACTTTTTTTATCGTATACAAAGAAAATATATCTAAGGTGTTTTTATAAATAAAATTATTGAGAGATTTCTTAATTAATAATTCGTACCTGCTGATGCAGCTCCACCGGGAATGGCTTCTCTATTGGTACTGGCACATGTTGTGGTACTTTCACTATCTGCGGCACCGGAACCGCTACAGGATGTTTCACAGGCACTGGAAATGGAATGTGATGAGGCACCTAAATGACAAAAAAAGAAACTACAATTATTTATGTAAGAGATAAGTGCAACTAGTTGCATTTACATATAATTACATATAAAGATCAATAAAAAAAATATATCGCGATTCTTATTTTATATACTTTCCAATATTAAAATATTCAATAATAAAATTATCGTTTTTTTGTATTATCCAGTTTTGTATATTATCGTTTTTTGTATTATCCAGCTTTTATTATTACCCAGCGTAAATAATTTGAATATCAAAATGCATAGATTAAATTTGTAACATTTATTTGTATATTATTTTTAAGCATCTAGATTTAAAGAAGAGAAAAAAAGGTTCTAGGCTTTACTGAATATTTAATTTATTTTATTTCCTTTTTCTCTTATTTTTATATTCTTATTTTTCTCTTATTTTAAAATACTGATATTATATCTGATCTTACGTGCAACGTACTAAGACTAACCATCTTTAATCTTCATGTTTAATTTTGTAAAATAATAGTCTCTTGTTAAGAAAAACTTGTAAAGTATAAATTATCGTATTGATAAATGACTAATTAGCTTTGAATTGTCATTTTCTTGAAACTACTCACCTTAACAGGATACGGCACGGGGACCTTGATAGCTACTGTCTTGGTGACCTTGATCACCTTGGTTGGCACTTCGTGCAGATGTACCGACTGCGAGATGAGCTTGGGCTCATCAGATCCAAGACTATGGCCTTCGTAAAACGAAGGTCTAGCCGTGGCCGCTGCTGTTGCCAGCACAAATAAAAACTGCAAAGATGTAACGTCGTCGTAAGAGGATAATGAACTTGATAATAAACTTGATAAATAACAGGCAATTTGATATATCTATGTAACAATTAGTATTGAAGAAGATTTAGGCGATCAGAATAAATAAATAAATAAATTTTAATACGTTTAAATAAATTTTAAATTCCAATCAATATTCGTATTTAACGATTATAAATTTTTTTATATAACTTGATGATAAATAATAGGATAATAATAATAAAAATAACAACTATTGTACTTTTTTAAGGATTATTAATTATGTGTTAGAATAAATATATAAATAAATAAGAAAGAAAAAAAGGAGACAGAAATATATTAGATTAATAATATATTATATTGTCAAATTTAATTTAATTTAATTTTGTTCAGTTTTTAATATATATATGATTTCTTATAAAATATGAAATAATGAGATTTTAAATATTTAAAATTAATTAAGAATAAATTTTCTCTCTAAATAATTAGAAATTTAGGAATAAATTTTTTAAATAATTATTTTGATCATTTGTTTAAATTCCGGAAATATTTTATTTGCATTTACAATTTAATCATAATTCACCAAGATAAATTTTACAGTTTATGTCTCTACATGTTAATGTTTTTACACGTTCATGATTGTTTAGGTGCGTTTCTATATTTCAACACCCTCATAAATCCTAGCAATTTCCGATAGAAAAGTCTCGGAGTAATATTGTTCGTTTTGTGTAATCTCAAATTCTGAGCGATCTTGATAACACTATCGAGCACATTTGTCACAAAGTCGTTGATTTCCCGAAGGAAATGGTTGTGGTTATGGTCTTGAAATTTTTTCGATAATCTTGAAAACTTCCAACTGCGATGAAGAAACTTACAGCTTGTAATGCGATTGTCATAGTTCTGGATGATGTTTCAAAATTGGTCGAGTCGCACTGACTATTATAGAACCGTGGCTATACGATGGTTTATATATGAAGACCTTCACCATGGCTTGATTCACCACGAAGAAAGCACTCACTCGCTCTCTTCTCGATCGGCCGATCTCTTTCGCCCTGGATCTCGTCTCTAGTCTCTATCTTCTCTGCTTTTTATGATTAGTCCTCTCGCACGACTAGGTGGGTTCAACGGCCCAAGATAGGCATAATAGAAAGAAAAAACACATAGGTAAAAGGAATCTTATATGTGTCTGTCTCTCTTTCTCCCTCTGTTACTGGAACTGAAGATTGATAGACATGCAATCACGAAGTATATCTTACAATTAGAAGAAAAGTCGATAATACATATCTTATACAAATATGTTAAATTAATATTTATATTCCTAGTAATAATTTTGTTTACACATTAAACACAATATATTATATTATAAATTAATATTATATTATAAATTAAATTAATTAAAATTAGGTAAATTCTTATACAATAATTGTATTATAATTGTATTATAAAAAAATGTAATTTAGAATTAATATATTACATTTTCTTATTAAGAATTAATATATTACATATTCTTATTAAGAATATATATATATATTATATATATATATATATATATATATATATACATAATATATATTCTTATAATACATATTCTTATATATATTATCTAATTAAAAAATTTCTTTTATATATACTATATATTTTTTCATATATTAAAATATCTGAACAATATCGAAATTTGCAACAACTTATTTTTAAGTTATTTACAGATATAATGAATAATCGCATGATCGCGCAATTTCTTTAGGTAGATCTTTAATACGGAAAGGAAACTAGTACAGGAAATAATAATTTTGACATGTAACTCACGTCTCAATTTCCGGTGATATATATAAGTGATTTGTGGAGAACATTCGATTGAGAGAAGCAAAACGTGTACGATATGAACAGGAGTGAAAGGGCTATCATCGAAAGGCAACGATGGCAGCTTATAAAATAAGAGGACCTACAATCTGCTTCATCGTTTTTTTCCACTTTAACATTTACTACAGGTACGCAAAAATACAATTGTTCCGCAAGAAACAATGTTGAACGCGCAAGTTCATTATTGACCAATTGTAACGATAATCTAGTTTGATAACAATAGATGGATCTTGAAAAACGCATAATTTTCAAATATTTTCCGATAATTTTTTATACAGAACTTATATTTTTTAAATTTATTTAACATAAATTTCCATGTCTTTTTATTTTACTTATTTTATTACATAATTTAATCTTTTCCTGTTTTTCTTTCTTCTCCCTTTTTACATGTTTTTAAACTAAGAATAAAAAACAAATATTTTTTTACGTTTTATATGAAAAGTTGTTTAAAAAAATACATTTTACAAAATTTTTTAAATAATTAAAACATGATTAAAAAATTAATTGTTTAATTTATTTATTATACTTTATTTTATTTTATTTTATTATTTATATATTATATATTACTCTTTCAATATAAATTTTGAAATTTTATTATTTATCATCTTTTTTCATTTTCTATATTTCACATAACTTTACTTTTATTTTTTTTTATTTCATTTATTTCGATAAATATAGAAAAATATATGCACTTTCTAGATCACAGGTATCATTTACAAATAGTTTATTTATATCACAGATTATATTACTGAAGTTCAGTATGAAAATATAGCAAAGAGAAACCGACACTACGAGAAAATTTAAATATTGTAAAACTTAAAAACCACAAGCAGATTAAGTTAGAACAAATAATAAATAAAAATTTATTTAAATTAATTAAACTAATTAATATTTTTATAAACTTTTATATAGCATTTATGTAGCATTTTAAAAAATTATATTGTTTTTATAAAACTTTTATTTTTAAGTGAATTAGTGCTTATTATTATTAATTTAATTTAATTATTTACTTATATTAATTTAAGAAGTTTTATATAACAATAATTATATAAATAAAACGTATTATTATATACGATATATATACGTATAATGTATATTATAATAATGTATATTATATATATATGTATATATATATATATATATATATATATAATATACATTCGTATATAAAAATATAAAATATATATATATATATATATATATATATATTTTATATTTTTATTTATATATTTGTTTAAGAATTATTATTCTATCATATAATTATAAAAACATTTTATAAAAATCTAGCGGTAATTAATATCAATAATCTTCAAATGTTTTTATGCAATAATTGAACATCATATGCACGAAATATATGTCACATGTATATACAAAGTATATACGAAGCTAATTGCAGCAATTAAAAACACAGGTATTAGTTTCGATTTCCAAATTAACATCTCATTATTATTAACTATCTTGATGGATGTATTTACCGACTTTCATTGAAAGTGAGAGGAGAAAGAAAGGACAGTGCGGATAATTTTACTTTTGCTTTTGTGCCGAACCGGTTTTTGTCCTTTGCATTCTGTTAAGCTTTGCATGGTTATCGCTTAAGTGCAATATTATTACAAATTATTAATAAATTTTAATTGTTAATTCTATACATAAAAAAAATTGTAACAAAGATTTCAGAATTTAATTTTTAATCCTCTTCTTATTTTTAAACTATTTTTTAATTTTAATTATTTGCATAATAAATCATTTACACATATTTATATAAATTATTTATATTGTCAATAAACTTTTTATTATTAATTAAATAATTCAATAATTATATTCTTAATTCTTAATTCTAATAATTAATTTCTTTTAAATCAATTACACATTTGACAAAAATTATGAAAAAGTTAATTAAGAATTAAAAATTTATTATTCTATTTTACATTGTGCCTATGTATAATTTAATTTTGTAAGAATTATTAAATCAAAGAACGATTATTTGAGAATTCGAATAATGATAAAATCAATTTAAGGTCGCAGGCGGATGCGGAAGTGAATGTGCAATAAAGTGTATTACTTCCTACCTTCACTTAACTTATAAAGCAGAACAAAGGTCCATTTTTACGTAAGTTACTTTTTCAGTAAAGCCGGAGAAAGGCACAAAAGTATAAAATGTACAAATCGAAATTGTTGCTGCCTTGATTGACTTAAAGCTTGAGATTTCCGAAAAATCCAAAAAGCAATTGTTCATGGAAAAATAATAAATAAAATTTAATAAAATTACGCTGCAACTTTCAACAAAGTTTAAAAATGCCGAACAAAAATGATTATTTATTAATAATAAAAAATATATTTCTTTCTTTTTCCCCTTTATAAAATAAAATATTAAGTTATTATGTGAAAGTATATATAATATATATTTTTCATTACAATTATTTAAATTAAAAATAAAATAATGGAAAGATATACTATTAAGATATATTATTTATAAAGAAAGAAATAACTTTCTGTATTATTATAAAAATTATATATATTATTAATATATTATATATATTAAATTTTATATTTTTATAAATTACTTATACATGCACACATAGATTCAAAATTAACAAATTTAAGTGAAAATAATTTTTTTAAATAAATAATTCGAAAACTAATGCAGCGCGTTTACCACAAAGTCGAATCAATATAAAGTACTCGTGTGGCAACATTTTGATTCAAGAGCTGATATTATACGTTCATGTGTGATCGATCTCTAGTGTGATTGGCGTTCTCACTGCATAACCACAAATTCCAGTTTTATATTAAAAAATATAACTTGTAGAGAGTTAATAATGCTTAGCCTTCTTATTAAAAAATATCTTTCCTGTTTGCTAACTTAAATTGCATATTTCACAAATTACACATTGCAATATCGCAGGATCTAATTCTGTAAAATTAATTTTTAAGTTAAAACAATTCTAATTGATAATTTCTTAGAAATAATAAAATTAATATAAAATAATAATAGCATATTATTAAAAAAGAACTTTTATTAAAACCAAATCATTCGACAAAATATGTTGCCATTATTTTTTTTTATCACTCTAGTACGAATTTTAAAATAAGTTAATTATCAATAAATCAAAATAATAGTTTTCTAAATATGATAAAATTAGAAATAATGGTGCAGAAAAGAACTTGTTAGGAATTTTTTTATTATAATTATTTAAAAATAAATTAATTATTTGAAATCATCAAAAATAAGTTAAAAGTTAATAAAATTAAAAAAGCAATCAGTGTAATAATCGTAATAAAATTTTTTGTTAATTTGTAATTACTATAATTTTATATTTTAAGCTTGTGTTATAATAGTTTAGATATAAATTTAAAAAATCAAATTTGCATAGAGAAAAAGATTCTCAATTTTTACAGCAATTTATAAATATTTTTTAATTTTAAAACTTTTTAAATATTTTAAATTTAATATATGTTTAAAAATTTTTTTCATATATTATTTTATACATAATACAATTACAATTTAGATTGATTCTTCTAATAGCATGCAATATTGATGCGGCAGTGTATCACAAGATATATATATACAGGCGAAATTAACCAAATGTTTATGATGTTATCTACATAGATGGCACCATCTTCACAATAATTAATCGAGAATGTATTTATTAACATAATTAAATCATACGATATGATATTATAAATAAAAATATTTTAATCTTGTATTAAAGAATTAATTATGTTTGTTGTGTAATTTTATAGAATTTATAAAAGTAACTTAAATTACAAGTTAATTTGCAAAAGTTGATAAATAACAATAATTAACATATACTTCAGTCATAAACATAATTTTTAAAATTTTTATTAAATAAATATAAGTTGAAAAATGTATATATGTGTGTGTGTGTGTGTGTGTGTGTAGCTTATGCAAATGTATATACAATTATATAAAAGTTCTTTTGGAAATGATCAGAAAAGATGATATAATTTCCATTTTGATTTCAATTAAATTATTAATTACTTATGTGGTGCAGAAGAAATAAAAATAATATTTTAGCGTTTACTTTTGATTCTCTGCTTATTCAGTGATTTATCATGCTCTCACCAAAGCACGAGGATAAAAAATGCTAAAAATGTCGCAAACTCTCGCTGATGATGTTTCGCGAACGTGTTATATCATTCGCGAATCGACGCATCATTCTATGAGGGCATCAACAACGTACATAGACAAAAGCTCTCAATAAAGTGAAAGTCCGCGCGTGCGAATCTCTTGTTTCGTTTACAAAGAGTTAGCGACGAATTTTGCTTGACGCTTTTACATCGTGTTTTATGTCGCCTTTTAAAAAAAAATAATCGTCTTTTCGTCGTCTTTATGATAAGTCTCGTTGTATCTTGCTAAGTGTTCGCCTTGCACAACCCAATTTTCTTCTTTCAGGGTCTTATTATGCATTATGTTGATTCGATTCGTTGGATTGATTGCGGTTTCTCGATTTACATATTCTTTTCGATACTTTCACATGTACGTGCGACATCTCGATACGATGTAGTGGATTATATAACAGTTTACATTGAAATATATTACACTATTTTATGAATAATCAGGAAATATTATAATTATTTATCTTTCGATATACAGATACAAATCCTAAGCAGAGATAGTTTTCTGCTCAGAAATATTTGTAAAAATTTCTTCAATTTATTAAATTATTAAAATATTACGTTTAATTAATAATTAATACAAAACTTCCAATAATTAATATAATTGTTAACTTATTGTATATTTATTTATTTCAAATGTCAATGTTTTATTTTAATATCAAAATATGTAAATTAAAGAATTTACTTTTTCTTAAAAACGTCTCGCATCCATATTTTTGAAAAACGAAGAGTAAAGAAATAAAATATAAAAGCATACACACACACATACAAAGCATATAAAATATAAAATGTAAAATATAAATTTATAGAAATAAAATAAAAACAAAATAAACAATATTTGCAAGTTCTTACTATTATAGAAGCTTTTTTGTAATTTTGTAACACTGTAATCTGTTAGACTTAGTATAATTTTCTCTTCATCTTCTCATTTTTTTAACGAACAAGTTTGACAGGATGCCGTCAAAATATTTCGAATTTCGACTAAGACATGTCGATTATTGCCACCAAGGTTACGATATTCAACTTTGTTGCTTCGATCGTAAAAGATGTGATTCAACCGACCGATTTTATAGAAACCACATCTGTCTTCATATTTAGCTACATGCGAGGAGACCAGTCGCGTAGAATTAATTTGTATATGTGTTATGCAAGTATGACGAATTTTAATTAGCTCATAGCTGTCTCATTTTTAATTCGCTTTCTTACACTATTTTTTTATGTAAATTATTTTATATAAATATTTTTATTGCTTTCATTATATATATATATATATATATATATATATATATATATATCTTGATCGCACTTAGAGATTCTAAAGTTATATTAGTGAGTTTCTTTAAAAATAAGGTTGTAAAAAATCCAAGCGGTTGGCACGAAATTTCTGATTTTATTATAAAAGTTAAAATATTACAGAAGAACTTTTTCTGGAAAAAAAATATATATATATATATACATATATATATATATATATATATATATATTTACTTTATTTTTTATTTATATGTATACATTTTTACTTTTTATGAAAGATATCTTACATTTAAATTTTTTTTTATTTTATTCTTTATTCTTAACAGTTTTAATATTATGTAATCTTTCTTTTTTGCATTTAAAAATACATTTATCTACATTTGCATGACATACATTTTACATTTAAAGAATATTATTAGATACTCTTTAATTTTTTTTCATCATTTACTAATGCAAGCAATTGTTCATACAAGACTCGATTATTTAAAACGCCACAAATATATGTTGTTTTTTTTAATGATATGTAGTATAGCAAAATAGCAGAAGGACATGCATATAAAGAAGGCTAGCTTGTTATTGGTAAGCTTAATGAGTTGAGTAATATTGATTAAGTAATTTGATTTATGCTTACCATCTTTATAGCATGAGAATTTTATAAAAAGAAAAAATATTCCGTGTATGCGTGACGCTTCAGGTTACCATAATTTTCCTTTACATAAAAACTCTCAATCTTTCAACGATAATCGATTGATTAGTGCATGACGAATTTGTGCTTGGCAGGTGCATCCCGATACGGCAATCTTCTTGATATTTCCTTATTCTTTCAACTTTCATATTAAATTCATTTTACACGGACTACATTTTTTATGAATTCTTTTGAGCAAAATTGAATAATAATTATAATTAATATAATATTCGTAATATAATGTGATATAAAAAATTTTAATTTATAGGAAAATAAACGTATTACATCTGTAAAATATATATATTGATAATATAAATTAATGTTAATATGTAAATTAATGTAAATTAAATTAAATTAATCTTAAATTAATATTAAATTAATTAATCTTAAATGTTAATTAAATTTTCAGATATAATGTTGTGTTTATATATACATATATGATACATATAATATAATACTACATGTGTATTTATGTTATCTAAAATTTTGAAAAAAGCTGTAGAAATTATGAAAAGACTTTTATAAGACATGTGTAAAGAAACAAGTTCACGAAAATGAACTTTTCAATTTTGTCTAATCAAAAATTTCGTATAATTTAAAACGGGCTTTACTTTCGTTTATCGTATTTATTCTCGAATCAAGAAAGATTGGAGATTATCGAGCAAGTAGATCACAGAGGAACATCAAGATTTTACGCCGAGAAAGAGAGAGATCGTCACAAATTTTAATTTTTTTTTTCATTTTATTATCTCGTTTTTACTCATGAAAGGGACCACCCGAAGTATTTAGCTTCCGGGTAAGTTTATGCAAGATGTACCAGAATTTATACATGCATCGATTTTTTCGTGTTCGAGAGAGTTTGATATTTTTTCGAACATGTAAAAAACATCATTATGACAGATTAATACTTTGAAGCTTCTCTCATACTTATTTTCATTCGAATGGATCAAAATATGAGAAATTCTTAAAGAAATAAAAAGCTAAAAATAATATTTTAAACTTTTCAGTCTTTCCAGTTTTTCTAGTTTATATATTTATATATTTTTCCATAATATTTTATGCTTTATTTTATCAATAAATTAAATAAATTATGACAATGATTTATGATATTAATTTTTTTTTAGAAAATACAACATATATTATAAAACGTTTTATGTATATTTAATTATTATAAAATTGATATTTTTACTATTTTAGATACGTGTGTGTACAGTTTATCATTATAAAGAATTTGTATTTTGCACAAATGTTTCTGCTGATTTATGACATATCAAAGTATATGAAGAAAATACATTGAATATAAAATTGTAAATTATTATCAGTTTTTCTATAAGTATAATCTTTTTATATTTTAATAATTACGATTTAATATAGATAAAATATTTTTATATATTTATATGATAAACGTAAAGCATATAGTTCAGCACAAGTTGCAAAAGAAATATACTGAAAGGCACTGGTATCTAATAACCAATTTATAAGCAATGGCCTTGTTCGAACGACATTTTGACGAATTTGTAAGTTTCGGTTTCAGATTTCTTTATGAAACAGGATCTGATTAAGAAAATAATTGATTGCTTCTCATTTTTAAATCTTCTTTAGCCTTGTTTGCTTAAAATTCTTTTCATATTGTTATACACTATTATTAATAATATAGAGAATTATAATTATTAAATATTTAACAAATAAATTTTGTTTCTAATTTTGTTCGATTTTGTTCGATTTTCAATAAAAAAATGTACGTGAATGTACACATTTATTATTATATATTACTATTATAATTATTTATTCAAAATTTATTGAAAATATAATCTTTGATATAAAATACAATGATTATTTTGTGATATCACTATGAGGTGTCTTCAAATCACAAGACGTTATTATAGATTCCATGATTAATTAGGAATACTTTTCCAACTAAAGGTATTTATAATAAAAAGAAACATCTTCTGTAGTTAAAAAAATATAAGCAAGTCATTACAAGTTTTTTTTTCTCTTAATTTAATTTTTTTCTCTTAATTTTCTATTCATTTTAATTTATACTTAAGTTTTTAATAAATTGCAATAATAAGGAAATAAAAGCTTATCGATTAAAAATTAAAACTAATTAATTTTAAAAATGAAAAGATAAATGAAAAAAAAAGAAAGAAAAAGAAACAAACATAAATATCAAGAACAGGCCATAAAAATATTTTATTGCTCCATTCTTATTTCTGGAAATAATGTCAAATCAAATTTTTATAACAAATCCGCTTGCTAATTTTATATACAATGATAATTTTTTATTTATTATAAAGTTTTAATTTTTATTTTTAATTTTTTTTTCTATTAAAAAAATAAAGATTAATTTTGTCAGACTTAATTAATTAGTCTTTAAACATTTTGTATTATACATATAAATATATATACTAAGTTTCGTTTCATTCAATTCTTCAAGAATTTCACTCTCGTCTCGATGTTATTATTTAATTCCACATAAATGCAAAAGTCTTAAGTCGGCTCAACAGACCATTAATCACATCGATTCATCGATGCTTTTTAACGCAGCAGACTAATCACTTAGCCAAATATATAGAATGACTATAAAGTGTATTAAACTAACGCGTTAAGAGAGTAACGGCATCCAATTAGGCGACAAGAAAAATACATCAGCGGGTTCGATCGAAGGATTGAAAAATCTCGTCTCGCGATTGAGATGCAATACAATCCATTAAACCTTACGAAAATTCGCCGCTTTGATACTCTCTTTTAAAAGCCTCCCACACATTTTTACTGAAGATAACGAATGAAATAAACGAGTGCAGTTAAATCATACCTCCTAAAAAAGAGAAAAAAGAGAGAAAGAGAAAAAGAAAAAAAAGGAAGAAGCGAGAGATCAACAGAGCTGCAAAATTCCGCAAAATGGAATTTATGAATCATTTGCATAAATTATCATTATTTGCGTGGATTCGATTCCAACCGAAAGTGAAGGCACTCATTGAAGGATGAGCGTCTTTCTTCTTAGGGATGAGGACAATGGAATAACATCGATTCATAGACAACCATCATTATCACCCGACGTTCTCTATTCAATGATTTTGAAGAGCAGAGAACGAAAGAAGTTAGCCCAGTCAATTAAAAAAATCTAGTTCTACCAATGCCACGCCGAATTGCGACACGCGGAGGAAGATCGTTCGGGAAGAAGAGAAGGACCACGGACTCCGGTATAAAAGGTCGAAATGTCTTCGGGCAGATGCTCAACTCATCGCCCTGACACCACATGGCTAACATGAAGCTCCTTCTGATCACGTCCGTGGTAAGAGACTACCTTACTTCCGATATCGTCTCAACCCCGCGATTGCGATTAAAGGTGTCTTTTTTTAAGTGATTTAATTTATTAGTGACAATGATCAACGCATGATGTGATTAAACCGATTAAGTGAATTAAGTTAAATTAAAATTTAATATTGTGTTTAATAATAATTAATAAAATACTTTGAGAGAGATATAGAAATAAAATAAATTTCTTTCACATATAATGTAGCAGAAATTACATTTAAAAATTTCTTCCACAAATAATGTTTGTAGAGTGATTTAGTTCGTAACAATAATCATTATTACAACAGTTTTATTTTTAAGAGAATTTATTCTGTTTATAATAATGACAATTATAATTTTTAGTATATTCTAATAAAACTAATAGTTATAATATTAAATTCATTTATTGAAAAAAATTTATACATGTATATATAATTCTATTATCTTATATTCTTTTTCATCAACAATTGCATAATAAATTAACTGTATATAACTGTTAATAATTATTATTCTACACACGCTCTTTCTATTGAAGAATTTTTTTATTTAATTATTTTAATTATTTTATTATTTATATATTATTTATATTATATTTATTTATATATTTGTTACATTATTTATATATTTATTTAATTATTTTTATTTTCTATAGCAATAAATTTTTTATTTAAACAATTATTAAAATTATTAATATTTAAGAAGACTATTTAAGAAATACTTATTAATATCACGTTTGCATTCTGTGACTTTTCAAGAAGCAGATAAAATTATCGTTAATAAATGACACGTGGAAATTTGTATCCGATGGATTCTTGAGACGTTCATTAAAATGCATAGATCCTGTGTCGATTTCATAATATTCAAATTTAATTACCGAGATCGATAAAATTGCGTCAAGACGAAATACATAAAGATAATTTAGTCTAGCTTGTCCGTAGCTATGTAATAAATAATATAAAAAATGTAATAAATTTATTAAGTATTAAAATAATATATACATTTGCATATATATATATATATATATATATATATATATATTATATCCCCTTTTATTAACTATCCTTTAGGTCATGTATAATACATCTATGGGTCATTTTAATCCTATCGATCATATATTTTAACAAAAGAATGGTTTCTAATCGATAAAAAAAATATAAAATTAATGTTTAGTTTTAACTTTTGTTGTATGTAATAATTTTCTACAAATATTAAGCAATATTTGTAAATTGTTTTCAAGCATTTTGATAACTAAAACTGCCACAAGACATTGTGACTCATATGTGACGAGGAACAGAATAAAAGAAATATGATTTGCAAGAATTATAAATGTTTTTTAATATGCTAATATTAATATGCTAATTGTATGTTTTTAGATTTGCTTCGCGGCAGCTTTAGCAGTGCCGACCGATAAGAAGAAAAGGGAAATCCTGCCGGGTGATCCGCGCTACGGAACCGATTATCACCATCAGCATCATCACCATCATGAGCACGAGAACGAAGTGGAGATTTCGAAAGCAGCCGGCGGCTACGTAGGTTCTTTCTCAGAAGACGCAAAAGCTCACTCCGCACAACTTTCGTCGTCCTATGGACCGCCCAACTTTATTCCCGGCAAACCTTTAGGCTCTGATTACACATCTAGCGATACTATTCAAAATCCTGTTCCCCAGGTGCCAGCTACCTCTTACGGAGTACCTGACATTCAGGTAAGGTGACAATCAAGAAATTTATCGAAATCGCGAATTAAATGAATTTAAACATAATTTTAATAAAAGAAAGATTAATAGATTGTAATTAATCAAGCACAATATTGAAACAGCGCTATAAAGCTTTATTATATATATTAAAATCATTAAAATGAAGACAGATAATGTATTAAAAATTTTTTTACACTATTATTTTAATCTTAAAAAAATTATGAAAATTAGAAACATTTATTATATATCTTATATTATTTAAATTATACAAATTAAAATTGCTGCAAACATATTACAATCATTAATAAATTAAAATCCATTTTTAATTTATATATTACAATCTCTATGAATTAAAATTCATTTTTAATCTACATATAACAATTATTAATAATGTCTTAATCATAAAATTGCTTTTTTTATCAATTACATTAAATTTAACAGAATTGATTAATGAAAACATGATACAGATTATCATACTAATTAGACTTTATTTTTCCGTTGAAGATCAACAACAATTATGCCGAGTCAAATGAAGCCAAAGCGGATACAGTTATCCAGGTAAGGTACATGCACCCGCTACAATCATATGTACTCGCGATTATGTAACATTACTTTCTACAAGTTTATACATTAATCCATAGAAAATATCGCGATTCTTCTCATCGAATTAATATCTATCAAAATGACCAAAATGTTTTCGCAATCTATCTTGCTTTTTGGTTTAATATGTAATTGATTACATATTATTTTGAAAAACCATATAAAGATATGTGTTTCAAGAATGTAGAAAGTGTTAATTATTATTATAAAGTTAATTAATATTTAATTTAATCAGAGTTATTTGAATAATTTAAAGGCCAACTTAAACTCCGACTATCAAGTACCAGCTATTGAAGCGCCCATCACTTCTTACGCTAAGGTAGGCATTATTCTATAAGTTACAGTTTTGATAGATAGCATAATATTAGAATAAATAAAAAACGTGAAGCATATTAATAAAAATAAAATAATTATAAATAATTTACTATTACTGAATTTAATGAATAATTATAAATAATTTAATATTACTGAATTTAATGAACTAATTTATTAGCGTCATGTGTAATTATGCATTCCTTTGCTTTCAGGAGGAGGCACAGACCTCATACGAAGCTGCCGTAAATGTACGATAATTAATCAAATTAATAATTATTTATTTAATTAAAAATATATTTTATTGATTAAAATATTCTTAATTTTACTAAGCCTTCTAATATTGTAGCATTTACATTTTACGTTTAATATATTTTTATAAATAATTATTTTTATAAATATTTTATTTATAAAAATATTCTTAATTTTACTAAGCCTTCTAACATTGTAGCATTTACATTTTACGTTTAATATATTTATTGTTTGTACGTGTATTTTTATCATTGTTTATTAACATTTAGTGTAACTTGAATTTTTCTAGACTAACACCCATCAACAGTCTGAAGTTGAGACTCATGTGCAAAAGTCCGTTATTCCTGAAGTCCATCAAGATGTTGTTCACCAGGATTCACATCCAGTCTCCGTTCCACAGACTGTCTCTGTGTCGCAAGTGAAGGCAACGAAGGCTCACGTGCCTGTCAAGACTCAAGGTGAGCGTTGACCTATCAAGAATTTACGATAGCGACGACAAGGATTTACGATTCCTGCCGAGGAATCTAAATTTGGTCTCTTGTAATACCAAACGTGTGAACATTCGCGTAGGATTATATAAGATATTTTGAAAAGTTTTCATAGATTTTGGAGGTCGAATCTTCCTCTCGCGTCAAGATCGTCCATAGAAGTCACGTAGAAATATTCTAATGCTTGACTAATGCCGGGATAACACATGACACACTTGTTATTTGTCATAGTCTAAATAACTCGCTCTGCTTTCATCGAAGATAAATGCAAATGTATGCTCGACATGAATATTAATCGTATTATGTAATTAAAGATACAGTTTCTCTAATGTACAGAATATATTTCATGGTACTGACTCCTTTCATATATGTTTCAACAGAAATTTACATATTTCTCTTTACATTTTCAAAAATTCTTCATTACTTCTAGTATAAACCGTAAATTTTTATAATATTAAGTAATCGAAACTCAGAAAATGAAAAATTGTGAAAAAAAGATATTTAAAATGAATGATTATAAAAGCATTTTTAACTAATTTATATATTTAATCACATAATAATTAATATATTATCTTTTTTAGATTTTTTTTAAAAATTGAGAAAAAAACTGCTTGCAATTAACTTTTCTTGAAAAATTACAAATTTAAAAAAAAATAAATTTATATTAATATTGTACGCAATTATCACAGAAATGCCACATGAATACCAAAATTATAAATTATTATAAATTATAATAAATCTTCAATAATAATTAAATCTTCAATAATTTTATCTATAATATATAATATCTTATTTAATAATATTTTATCTAATGTAATATTTCATTTTACTTTAATTATTTATTTTACTTTATTTTATTTTAATTTAATATTTTATTATTAAAAATTTGTATTATTATTATAACTCTCGTTCTATTCATAAAAATTAAATTCAATAAAATTAATCAATAAAAATTATTTCATATGTAATATTTAATATTTTAAATAATGTATTTTTTTGTTTCAGAAGTCCAACACAGCTTGCCTTTTTACACCTCTTCCATCAGTAGTTTTCCCAATTTCGACTTTTCATACCCCTCGTACAGCAGTGTACCGGTGAAGACTGTGGACCGTCACGTACACGTAAAGGTGCCCCAACCATATCCAGTACCAATAACCAAACACGTAACATATCCCGTCCCTGTTCCCCACCCTGTCGAAGTTCCCAAGCCTTACTATGTTCGCGTGGCCCAACCTGTCCCGGTGACCGTGAATCGTCCATATGCCGTGGAAGTGCCTCGCGCAGTGCCATACCCGGTTCCCCATTATGTCAGAACCAACGTTCCGGTCGTTCAGCAGCAACACATAAACGTTAAGGCCAACAATCCGTTCGAGGGCTTCATCGAGAATGCCCAGGGCGTGGTAAGCAATTTGCCGGCTTTCGAGAACCCGTTTGGATCGTTTCAAATCCCGGGTTTTCAGGATATTCAGAATCAGTTTCCCCAGAATTTCCCTTTCGCGCTGCCTTCTTTTCCCTCATTCACTCCCTCGGCGACCCAATCCCCTGTCCCGGCTCAGGTCAGCAATGTACCGACCGCGAACAGCGCCGATTCGATTGTGATTGAAAATCCAACTCTGAACGCCGAGACCACAAACACGAAGACTGTCGTTGCGCAACCGGCTGTCACGCATTATGCCAGACATCAAACCACGCAGCCGACATTTAAACCCACCACCACGGGCGCCGGCAGTTCCGTTTCCGCCACTCATACCACCGCCAAACAAGAACATGTGAAGTCTAATGGTGACGCCAACGGTGGCTATTCTTATTAAAATGTTTATCTTGTAATTGACAATGAATAGACTACTGGAATTTCTCAGTGGAAATGCCAAATAATTATTTAACGCGAGAATATATTTCTAAATCAAATCTCTATTGGATTAATTGAAAAGTTTTTTTTTCAACAGTTGGAGTTTCAGAATCTCATTGAAGTTTAATTTGAAGTTTTATTTAATCCTTAGATAAATATAAGAAAAAAGAATATTTTTTATCTACGATTTATTCGAAACTCTTCTGCTTTGAATAATTTAGAGGAATTTTAAATTATATCGCGATACACATAATAAACAATATAAATTTATATTTGTAAACTAGGAGATAGTGCGTTTAAGAATTAAATTTCTTTATATTTAAATAAATATAAATTTCCTATTTTATTAAACCTCTCAATTTTCTATTACAATTTTCTATTAATTCCTTTGAAAAATATGTAACTTAATATTTAATCGTTATTCAAGTTAATTCGTATTATTATTTGCTCTGTTTTAATATGTGTATAGTTTTTAAATTACTTCTCAACTTTTTTATTTATTTTTTTATTTTCTCAACTTATTTATTTATAAAAATACTAAATTTCTTGATCAAATTAATATTTCTGTCTTAACTGAAAGTAAATAGATAACATAAGATAGAAAATTATTTAATGTAGCAAGATTTAAATAATGTCTTTTAAACGTTTAAAACAGGATGCAAGTTAGAAAAAAATAATATAAAATTAGAGAACATTTTTTATATGTAAATAAAACTCTTTTATTACAAACATTGGATCACTCATTAAGTTGATGATATAAGGCGTCTCTAACGCATCATTACACAAGATCGTATGAAGATTTACACAAAAATGATTCGTTACAGAAATTCATGCAACGATAGAATAACAATAATTAAAGCAATTGCAGCTCACGTGCAAAACTTCGTATCAATTTTTCTATTGCTAATCTGAATAGCGCACAAAAATTCCTATCTACACTATAAAAAATTGCGTTATAATTTATTCTAAGCTTATTGACGATATCTATTATCTAAATTAATTAAATAGTTTGTCCCGTAATGATATAAATTAATTTTCAAGTCTATGTAGAAGTACATGTATTTTTTAATATATTTTTTACTTTCTTGATTGTCTATCAAGTGACTCTATATAAATGATGCAAACACATTATATAATATTGTATTATTATTATTATGTTTTCAATATCATCATTTGATTTTATTAAATGCTGAAATTTAAAATTAATGATCAAAATTAATAATTAAGAATGGCTATATATATTCTTTTTCCTTTTCTTTCTAGCGTGTTTTGCACGTGAGTTTTACTTTGACTTCGTATAATAAATATCTTCGAATAATAAATATTTGATTGATCAACTTGAATAATCAAATAGCGAAGCACTAAAGTTACCTTTTGTCTGTATGTCGAAATTACCATTACCACAAATGACACTTCTTTGATGGATTCATCTTCGATTCTCTGGGGCAATTCCACGCAGTGCTAAACTCCTTGGAATTTTTTAATACCGCTTGAAGTCTCACGTGGGCAGGGCAGTGAGTGTCCTCCAGCATCCACTTTAGTGATGCAGTAGTGTAAGACTCGCACCACAACTAAAATCAATAAATATTTGCCTATAACCTTCAAAAAATCAGAAGCTATTTGCGAAGGGAATTTAATACTCGGTAAGAAAAGAAGAATAATTTCGAAAGGAGAAAGTTTATGTTATAATTAGACAAGGAATCTCAATAAACAAATTTAATGAGCAAATTTAAAATATGATAATAGATTCAGAAGAGCCGAAATTCAAATATTAGTTACAATTTATTGCCATCGACTGGATTAAATATTGCGATTTATTGCTATTGATCTAGCTATTTTTAAACATCTTTGATTTATCACGAACGATCGAAAGATGGCATTTAAATGAGAGGCGTTTTCAGAAGGTTACCTGTAACACGAGTCTTAGTTTCAATATTTTAGAACTACAAATAAAAGAAAACAAGCATGAATCCACGGTATTTTAAACTGATGATCATCAAATCACCGAAAAATTAAAATTTAAGAATACTGTTTATTTAACAATTTAAATATAAGTTAAACTAAATTGCTCAGGTTATCCTAGAATTCTATTATTGGAAGTTTCTTTTATTTCTATTTTAAAAAAAGAATCTATTTGATCACATTAGATTCTTAGACCGATTTAAAATCGATTTTTCTTTAACAAAAATGTGGATTATTGTAAATATGATAAAATTATATTAAATTATATCTTATTTTGTTTATTAATATTTTTTTATTATATATTATTTATCTCTATTAGTATATTATTATTTATATATTAATTTAATTATTTTATTTTATTTATAATTCAATCAATTATTTCAATAACATGATTTATATATAAAATTAATTTAAGCTAATAAAATACATATATAACAAATTTAAATTACAGAAAATTGGCCAATTTTTTAAGTAAGTTGCAATTAAAATAATGTTTCTAAGATATCCTGAATAATTTGATATATATTTCTTTTTTCTTTTTTATTAATTTCTTAATTTTTTATTTTTTATAGTATTAAATACTATTGGTTATCGAAAGTGTCATAGAACTGTTCGAAGTTTCAATTTTAAACTCATAGCTGGAAACTGGCTATTTTACTGGCTATTTTTATTTTAACTGGCTATTAAAAGCGTAAAATTGTTCAAAGCTTTAATTCTAAACTCGTAACTGGAAATTGGAAACTGTTTTATGTGGATTATTGACTTACATGTGCAAAAGCGAGAAAGAATAACTGCTCATGCGTAAGTTGCGTGAATCCGGGAAGAAGAGGCTCATGACCGTGCTGGGCTTTCCATATCTTATAAGCAATGAAGGCCTCGCGAAGGCCCCCATTATCAGCAATGTTTTCGCCCAAAGTTAATTCACCGTCGATGTAATCGTCGATCTAGATGCGAGATGTATTTTTAATATATTGACATGCTTGAATCATTTAACTTTTCAGATGCGCAATGCAAAGATTAATTTTTATGTTAAATTATATTATTCATAGATAGGCCTGCCATACGTCCCGGTTTGACCGGGATTGTCCTGGTTTCAGACGTCGGTCCCGGTATCCCAGCCGGTTTGATATTCCGTTCCGGTCGGCTGAGCTAGTACGGCTTAACGCATGCTGTGCATACGTATGCGTAATACGCGAACGACTGAATGCGATCGTGAATGCATGCGTGAATCCACTGTGAAATCTCTGTTATACTGTAAAATGAACTTGAGTATGACATGTATCGATTTTTATAAAAGTAAAAAGGTCAAAGATTACTACAAAAAGTACACTCCAGAAAAATATGAATGGTATGACAAAGATAATGTTAATTTGTAATAAACCGTTCAACAAATTAATTTTTTTTTCTACTCCCCACTTTTGTTCCGATTTGAATCTTTATAATTATGGCAGGCCTATTCATAGAATAGAAGAAGATACATATGAATCATGCATATTAAAAAAATTTATTCTAGAAGCTTTAAAGTTTTCTTGTGAATATAAAGTAAAAAAGTAAAAATTAAATTAAATTAAATTAAAAATTTTAAATCAAAATATAAATTTGAATTAAATTAAATTATAAAGAGAAAATATATGTATTATAATTATTTGCACACAATATTTAAATTTATTTAATTTATTTAAAAAATATTGAAAATAATATATATAAGTATGGAAATTTTAATTTTTAAAAATTCTTCTTATATTTTTCTTTCTATAATTAAATTTCACAGAATTAGTTTTCATATTTAGCAGTTTATTAAAATGTTATTTATTTGATATGAGCTTGCCTCGTCTTCATAATAAGTGTTATAGTGATCTATGAAGCATTGAGTCCTTTTAGTATATTCCGAGATGGTCTCGTTAGTCCACCATTCCCGAAGATTTCCATCGCTATCGTAATATCGGCCGCTATTGTCGAATCCATGAGTTAATTCATGTCCAAGTACCGAACCGATGGCACCATAATTCAAGGTTCTGCGATTGAAATTATTTAGAAAATTATGATCAATATCCTTCTTGTCTGAAGTATGATTCATAAACGCTTATCTAACGAAATCTATGTTTCTTAATTTTTATTTTCTGTTTTTATAAAGATAATTATAATATAATAATATTCCTATTCTTACTGAAGACCCAATTCATAAAATGGGAATTGCAGAATTCCAACAGGTACAGCTGCATAGTGAGAGAAGAGAGGATTTACATTAATGTAACATAAATGCAAAACAAACAAAAATATTTTCGACGTAATATTTTCTTTTTCAATGATAAAACTTCTTTTTTAATAATAAATTATTTGTTTCACAAGAAAAAGATTTAAATGTTTAAATTTTTATTTTTATTTTATTTTACTTTTTCTAATTAACTTAATTTACTTATGTTACGATATTTATATCATTACATACTTATATGATTAATTTGGAAAGTGTGGAACGCATTTACATCAATAGGATCGCTTGCCCAGCTAATCATCCAAAGTAAAGCGTGCAAAGAAATAAAATTTTATCGCTGGTTCTTTTTTAATGAAAACAATTTACTAAAGTTCTACTTACTAAGATTCGTTGTTCAAATTATTGTCATGCAGGCTCGCCCATGTAGTGTTCCATTCTAATCGAATAATTTGTATCATGTTATCCAAATACTTCATCTTCGATAGATCTATCTGAATCATTAACAAATTAATGTTATGCATTATTTTTTTTAAATATAAATTAATAGACTTTAAAAGTAAACTTTTAGAGATACAGAATTAATTTATTTTATTTTAATAAATTTAATTTTAATTAATTTATTTTATAGAATATTTAAAAACGGATGGCGGCTATAATAACTGCGGCTATATAAATTAATAGAATTCTTATCAAATATTTTATGTTCAAGATAAAATAAATAAAAAAGCAAACATATACACAATAAGCGATACAATAAAAATACACTCTTTTTTTATATGCATTTCCTATGCAGAAAAAAATTTACAATTATTATATAAGTTTTTTGCAAATCTTACGCCTTCATAATATTCGTCGAGTTTTTTCTCGTTGAAAAGCCATTCGGGAAACCCGATTCCGGAAGTCATCTTTCGGTTCTTTTCAAGCGTTGCCATTTTTGTCGGTTGATCCATCCAGTCCATTTTAACAACAAGTAAAGCGAATGCCTCTCTTATGTTTTCTAACATTTCCATCACTTCACGAGCTTTATTACTATGGAATGTTGGATCTACGAACAGCCATGACACCGCCATTCCTGTAAATTGATGAATATTATTCATTCAAAGCATTCAAAATGTTAATATATGATAATTAAAAAATTTCGATATACTTATTAAATCTTTAAAAAATTATATTTTGATAAATAAATGTTACAGATATACTACTTATAAAAACATTAATTAGAAAATTTCTAAATAAGATTACTATATCACATTGTGCATACCCATTAATTGATTGACAATTGACGCACAGTGCACAGATTTGGATTCGCCTATCTCCAGTTGCATTAGTTTATTTACATACGTAATCCAAATGTTTCTGAGCTTCTCGGAAGAGTGAGGCACCACAACGTCTACGACGATCCACCAAATGTAACTTTCTGAATTCAAAGTTAAATATTAAATCTATTTTTAAAAAATTAGATTTCTCAAATTCAAGTATTGATTAGAAATTAAAATTAATTAATAATTGGCCGAAATATACACAGAAAAAATACCTAGAGCTTCTTCTTCATAAGCAGCGAAAATTAATGCAGTGTCTTTCAAATAATCCAGATTGCCAACAAGAATTTTATCTTTTTCATCTAGATCTAATGTGACGATTCCATCGAAAAGTGATTCAATGAAAGATCGCCAAATCGGTTTAGGTGTAAGAGATGAATTAACTTCCATGATATATTCGTCTGTCAATTTTTGGAGATCATCCACCAGCATGTAATCTTTGTCATTTAAGTTTTCTTCGGAAACGGTATGATTTATATTTGCATGAACCATCTGTAAGAAAAGTGAACTATTATTTTCTCCTAATTGAATACATAATATAATATTTTTCGCAAAACTGAACATCTATAATAAAATTTGTTACAAATATGATATAGTATGATGAAGAAAAAGAATTTTCCTTCCATTATTTTTATCTTTTAAGATGAATTATGTTATTATTGCCAAAATTGTTATCTTTTAAAATATTACTTTTAAAAGATATCAAAAGATATTATATATTTTAAAAAATACATTATATTTGCATATCAAATAGTATACTTAGATATACATTATATTTGCATATCAAATAGTATACTTAGATATAAATATTTTCACTCAAATCATCTCTTAAATTTTAATTCAATAATTTTATCCATTTAAAAGAAGATTGATATAAAAATAATTTAATTAAGAAAATATTCTTACGTGATAAATCGTGTGACTAATTTCATAAAGCATTTCGACAAATTCCTCTAATGTTTCCACTGACATCATAAATTCATCTTCCGAAGTGCAAGTATTAAAAGTACCATTACTGACGACTTGTTTAATAACATCCGTCATGTAAACTAATTCAGCATTTTCGTTTTCACTGAGTGTTAATTCATCATCTAGATCTTCTAGCTTTTGCAATCGCGATTTGATAGTATGCAGCCGTTTTTCCAATTCTTTATTGCTGTTATTAAAAAAATATTTGAGATAATTATTACGTACATATATATATATATATATATATATATATATATATATATATATATTTATATTATTAAAATCATATATTTAAAATTCAAATATAAAAGTTAAAATAAAAATAAAAATTAAATATTAAATAATATTACTAAAATTAGTATATAAATATTCTAATTATACACACAACGAGAGCTTGAAAGTAATAATGTAAAAATTCAAAATAAAAATACCTGGGAAAAGGACTGAAGTGTTCCGGAGTATCAAAATAAATCAGATTTCTGCTGTTGTTCCTCGGATCAGTCATGATTTTAAAGCCAAAGAAAATATCAAGCCCCAAAATTCTCTTTACTCTAGCCATTTGTTCGATATAATTAGTCGTTTTATTAGTGAGAGCCGCGGGTATTAAAGGTAAATTCAATAATTCCAACAGATCAAACAACGGAGACAAATTAAGCTCGTTTATTGTATCTAAAAAATTTATATTTCCATAAGAAGCATTCATAAAGCTAATAAAAGATGATTAAAAATTTTAAATATATATTATTTATTGATATATTTTGTTATATATCTTAATTATATATTTTTTTCGTTGTAGTATTAATTTTTTTCACTATAATTTTGGTTGACATCTACCTAATTAAACAAAAACGGCAACGTACGCACGTCCATGCAGCTGGTGAACAACGTCTTAGCCTGCATTACCGCCCAAGGAACTTCATCGGCGGACATGTTGACCTTCAACAGATCCCTGATCTTCCTAGACACGCGATCGCTACGTTCGCTGAACCAGGAATTCGTCAGACTGGAATCCGGGATAGGATGTTCTTGCGGCCATCTGCCGCATGCATATCTAAAGAAGAGAAATTGCTTTTCACAAACATGATAAATATATAATAATCTAATAACTGTTAAAAAGAAAAACATTTAACAAATAAATCAAAAATAATAAAAATATTGTTATTAATTACTACGCTATTCCAGAGCGAAATTGCGTTAATTCACACCCGGTGCTTTATACAAGCGAGTGAAAGTATAACACGAGTATAACGCGAGTGCGATATTTTGCGTAACGCAAAGAATGATTTTTAAAAATTTGGCACACAAATGCATCGTATGATTAATGCACGATATTCATCAACATTAATCTACTCACTGATAAAAATCATCGCAAGGATCTACAGAGGTGTCCATAGATTCCTTCAAACTAGCCGCTAGGTGAACAAACAGAAATAAATAATTGTTTCCGGAATAATAACTATACAGTTTCTCTTTACCCTTTCGCGCAACGTTATTTTTTATTTCACACAAGTGACAGCATAAATAATCGTCGATAGTAATAATTATGTATTGTGACTCACCTATTCGCATGCAATCTTCGCTATCGCATATCTTCATCAAGCCGCTATGCGCATCTGCAATAAGAATAATCGATATAGAAAATATTCCGATAATATCGAATGTCTTTTTAACCATAGCTTTCTTTAGACCAATTTTTTTAAGGAACATATCGACTTATCACATATATCTTATTTAATTTAAAACTTTACAAATTAAAATTCTATTAAATAAAATTTATATAAAAATGCCTATAAAATATAATTATATCACTTATTTTTAACTTGTTTAATATTTAAATATTTTCATCGAAAAAAATTAGTCTCGAAATTCTTCGGAAAAATTATAGTTAAAGGAATATCTGATTCTAGAGAAAGTACATTGCATAGCATAAATTGATTATAGAAGCGGTATCCACGTGGAACGCTTCATAAATTTTTACACAGGCAATAATGATAAGCACGTGGTAAAAAGTTGTTTCATGAAACAACATGATACAAGTGCTACACATTATTTATATAGCCATTCTCTCGCTGAAATATTTATATAATGTCAATGGCAATCGAACATACACTAAATGACCCTTTAATTCATCAAGGATGTCTATAATTGCAAGAGAAAAAAAAGATATATCAAAGAATAAGAGAGTTGAATTATTAGATATATCAAAGAATGAGAAAGTTGAGAATTATTTCTTTTCCAATAAAAAGTATTTCCGGTATATATATATATATTATCGTATCTTTCATCAACTGATATCTATTATAACTTTAATAAAGTTAACTCGCACGGACTTATGCTTGTAGATTTCATATATCTATAACATTGACAATGAGTCATAAAGTGATATTTAATTTTAAATTTGACAATCTTGAAATATTGTAGAAAAATATCGTAATCCTTTTTTATTAATTTGCATTTTGATAATATTAATAATAAAAATTTCCTAAAAAATTATGTATATGTGCGATTTATTTTAACTTTATTAATTTATAAGTTTTATTTTTTTTCGAATTTTTAATTTTTAATTTTTACTTATGCTTAAATTTCAAAAATAAATTACATTATCTCGACATTTAAAAATACGAAAACTTACAGAGTATTGCGAGTACCAGGACTGTTATGAACAAGAAGCATACCAGGAAACACAGGATTATCACCACTAGATAGGAAACTTGAAATCGTTTCTTGAAGCTGGAAATACGACGAATCTGACTGGCGGAAATTCGAATTGATCTTTTTGCGGTGAACAAGTGCACATTCTCGATTTGATGAAACGATTTAATGAACCGGCATTAGCTAGAAAATTGCCAATCTCTTATACTTACTACGTTTGCTTAGATCTTATCGATACCAAGTGATTTTGGCTTCCAACCGAGTAAACGGATCCTTCATCTTCTGGGGACAATAAAAATGCAAATGTCATAATAATAGTTAGCTAATTATCAAACAAAATGATATTAAAAAATTATTAAATTTATTATTATATTTAACATCTCGAGTAAAATTATTAAAGTTTATCTGTAAAATTATTCATATAATAAATCTATTTTACTTTTTAAACAATGTTTATATATCACTAATTTACAGTATGATAGATAAAAATTAAAATGTTGTGAGAAACATTACAAATTTACAGAGAAAATAATTATATATTAGTTCGTTATTTTTATTTAAATCCTTTGCCAATTATTTATTTTTTTTAGGAAAAGCTTTATATTAAATTTTAAATAATATTTGTACATATTACAATTAGTACATATAGAAAAATAAAATAAAAATTTCTCAATATGATAAAAGAAATTGGATAATAAAAATTATTATTCATATATTGCTTCTTTTTTCTTTTGTGAAAGAAATATAAAAGAATATTTATAAAAGAATATTTATAAAAGAATACTTTAAAAGATTATAATATAAAACTATCCAGTATTGCATTTATATGCAACAATGTATCTATTTTTATGTAACCTGGTTTTATTATTGTGTTATCAAAATAAGGCCATCTATGTATGTAACAGACATTTAACAAAAATTAAAAATAATTATAGATGTTATATATTAAAAATATAGATTTGTGAGTTTTTTAAACACTAATATCAAAGATTTTATGTTTTTCGCTACATAAAATTTTGCTACATAAAATATTTTGCTACATAAAATATTTTAAACAAACGAAATTTATTTTTCTTTATATATTAAAATATGTCTATAATATTATACATACATACATATATATACATATATAAATTTTTCTCCGATATATGTCTAATCTCCAAATTTCTTTAATAAATATATAAGTAATATTTTTATTCCTAATTTTTACTAATAATAGAAGAACAAAAATTAAATTCTATCAAATACGCAATAATTAAATTAATTAAATACATGTGGACTTAAATTACTATAATAGATTAATAATCTATTGTAGGTTTCTGTATCTTTCTTTAATTTTTTCATATTTTTATACATTACACAGATTTTTCTTTCTAAGATGTCAATATATTTCTTATTTTATTTCTAAATGAGAAAAATGTAAAGAAATACAGCTAAAAGAAACAGATATTATTAATATTAAAAAAATATTGTTATAATTATTATTAAATGCTCTATTATTTTCCTCATATATTGCTTCCTATTATTTTCTTCAATTATAATAAAAGAAAAAAAATGAACGCAACTTAAAAGAAGCAGAAATTTTTCTCGACTTATCTTTAGTAAAACATAGCGCGGTATGAGAACTTTAGCAAGTTATATATATACATATACGATACACCGGAAAAGAAAAGCTAAGCAAAGATAGTCTGGCGTAAAAACTCACTGCGCTCTTTGTTCATGCTGAATGGCCTACTGACCGGATCGAACTGACGACACTGAATACCGAGTCGGGTCGTACAGACAACGTCGGGTGTCCATACGTTCACATTTTCCCAGTGGTGCTTCTTTGTCGAACCAACAGAAATAACGGCGACTCGAACATCAATTTTCCCATTTGTCCATCCGCGATAACACCCACGCATAACACGCTTGCGAGGAATGGATGACACCCGATGTCTTTCGACCATTCATGGTAGGCCTTCAATTCTTGCCATATCATCGTGTCCTTTCAATGATGTGTGCACGTGCCAAGTAATAATTGCAAAATTCTACTGGAAAGGAAAGAATAATTTATATTTATGAGTTTGACTGTGCGTATATTTGCATTTATATTTTTTAATTAGTCAGAGAATGATATATTTATAGTTATTTTTATAATTGTACTTATAATATTTATGAAATATTTAATTAGAATAAAACGGAACATTCGCTTATCACGTTATCAATGTTTATGCAATTTTGCGATAATATTTGTAATTTCTTGCAACTGCGGCAAAATATTAAGAAAATATTATTAGTATAATCTGCAAAGAAAATGTTTGTTTCATAAATATCGCGTGTATCTTGAAACGTAGATGTTATTGTTTTTCTTTGAAAAGCAATTTTAATACTGAGTAATCATAAATCAATGAATATTGTTATTTATGTTTGTTTTACTTATATTTGCATTATAAATATGTGAATCAGATTAAAAACCTTGCTCGAATTTTCCTCGCATATGGCATTCATATTATTTAAAGCAAGATAAATACATTGTAATTTATAAAAAAAAATTATCTATCAAAAATTTATGTATAAAACGTTATATAAAATAAAGTATACAATAAAATTTTAAAATAGTATAATATAAACGTATTAAATTTTAATTAAATTATATTTTTAAAAATGTATAGATTATTTCTTTATACTTTAAAAATACGAATTTAAAAAATTATATAAAATAATTATATTAATAAAATTGATTTTTCATATATATTTCTGTAAGTAATATACATCTTTAAACTTAAAATCGTCATATTTGCATGATTGCATAATATAATAAACGACTTTCGCGGTGATACTGAATTTTTACAGATAAAAATAAGCTTAAAATAATTGTGTAACTATTTCTGTTATACTTCCACTTTTCACAAAGTGAAATCCAGCCTTTCGCAGCACGCGATTAATCTTTCGTGACGAATAAATTAACGGGAATAAAATGATTAACAATTATGATTATGATATGGAGCATTAGTGCAATTGGATCAAAAGGCACGAGCCTCACCTATGAACTATAGCGGCACTATTAGGAAGTCCCGTTTGCGTAGAAATACTTCCTCGAGTTACAAAGTATATAAGTAAAGATAATTATGTAATTCCACTTCTATTCAACTTATATCTGTAAAAGCGGCATATATTGGACTTAAACCTTATCGTACTTTTCATTTTTGTTCATTCTTAAGAAAAATAAATTCATAGTTCAGTTATTAAATGAAAAAAACAAATTAAAAAATAGTTTTTTCTGTTTAAAATGATATTATTGAAAAATTATTTTAAATATTATTGAGAATACGTTAATATATTTTTTTATTGTCTTATTATATATAAAAATGCAATAATTCTATATATTTTTGTACTTATAAAAATAAAAAATATTTTAAGAAATAAGCTTATAAGAAAATTTAATTGTTTAAAAATAGCTTAAAAAATTAATTTAGAAATCGATAATTGAAGTCATAATAATTGATTATTACTAGAAAAGTATTCTCTCAAGATATATTATGCAATTAATATGTATTGATTTTTAAATTGACAGGATGTGTCAAGATTGTTTGACAACGCATGTGCAGCAGGCGGTGTTTAAGAAAACGTTGTCTATCACAGAAAAACACTTATTACGAGGAGAGAAAGTATGCAACAACGCGAGCTACGTAATGCACCGTGCACTGCATTCATTATTCATGCAATCGCTCTATCGAATAGATAGCGTGAGATCGTGTGTATTCGCGTAAATGTGCCCGCGTTATTCGGGAAATGACTCCAATTGCCGTGCAAAAGCAATTGCATACGAGTTCTCTATTTTGCTAAAAGGGAAATTTATTTCAAATGGAATCGCTGCTCGTCGGAATTGTTATGATTTCGAGACAACGTGACATGAATACGACATCGCAATCGATAATCGCCTCAGGACCTGAAGCACGTCTAGGGAAATCGATGTGACATTGCAAAAATATCAGATTTTCTATTCTTTGAAAAAAATAGTAAAAGTACGGATAAGATTTGATAAATAGATAATAAAGAGAAAAGGAAATAAAAAACTAATACAAAATTAATACAGAAATAAAGAAAAATCAGAAACTTAATTAAACAGATATCTACAAAAAATATTATTAAGATTGATATCAGAATAATAGGAATGATAAAAAAATTGACTAAAAATGGGGAAAAGATTCATAAAATTAACGTATGTATAATTGTATTAGACACATTTATATCACGATACTTTACTTCTCATAAAGTTATAACATGCCTATATCATAGCGAAATCTGTCAAGATAAAATATCTATATGTGTCTTATATTGCTATTGTAAATTTGCATACATTTAATCGCGTTTGAAACTCGAGCATTAATAGTTTCTTTGAAGGATACATGCATCTTGCGAGATAGTAATCGAGATTTATCATCGCAAGGTGATAGAATATGCTACTGGCAGACTACGCGACTGGAAACCTAATTAAATGCCCCCGCTTATATAATAAATTATTGAAGCATTAGTGCGTCACGTTTGCGCAGTGGCAACTTATATACTCGAGCGATTATTATACTAGGTTGGTCGGTAATATTAACACCCGCTTATTCAAAATTGACGATATGTCACATTCACTGTCAACCGGTCTGAAAGTGTAGCGAAAATGATATGATATTAATAGTCGAGATTGAGATAAGAATTAGACTACGTCTAGTATATTGTCTAGAAATATTAATGACAATTTATAGTTAACTTCACCGATATTGAAAAAGAAAACTCGCAATGTAATGAAAGAAAATCATTAATAAAATTAAAGTAGATCATAATAAAAACAGACTTATTCAAAATGTAATAGTAACAATTTAAATAATATTTATAAATAACAAGATTAAATAAAATAGTTAAAAAATTCGGATATGTACTACACAGATTTTGCAATTTTTAATAGAGATTTAATAACAAAAAGAGAAATAAATAGAGAAAAATGTAGAGTAGGTTTAATAAAGTGAATAATAAAAAAAGCATTGCGTAAAATATAGGCGATTTCGATCACGATACTTATTACTTAGCGATTGCATTTTTGAATCGCAACGATTCTCTTTTGCGCTATATATTTTGCGCAAAAAAATATATAACGCTTGTTACACGGTAATAATCCATGCAACGCACCTGACTGCTGCAACAATCGTAATTACATTTGTCCATTTGTACTCGCAATAATCATTTTATAAAAAAAAACTACTCCTTTCACATGTTTTGCATAAATTGATCATACATTTTGCATTCTCGCATATCTACAAAAAAAAATTAAAAATTCCTAAGTTACGTGGCACGTAATTATGTAGCTGAGAAACGTTGACGCCATAGTAACGTTCACTTTGATGCAAATAACTTATTCATAATATTTCAGTAAATTAAATGAAAGGATTTTAGATACCGTCATACCTATTTTAATTTCTCCTCTCCGATGTGATATTTAATTTAGATTATGGTAAAGAGAACGAATTGATAGAATTCTAATTTACGTTTTAAATAAAAATGAATTATTAAAAGAAGAAATTAATAATAAAAGGAAGTTAATAAAATTAAGAAGTTTAATTACATTTTAATATTCTTTTATGTCATAAATTAGATATGGAAATCTATCATAAGAGATAGGAAGAGAAATTATATTATAAATATTAATATATGTTACACATTTAATTTTTGTTTACATATATAAATGCATTATTTTTTTAAATTTCAATATCTTAATGTCGATAATTTTCATTTGAGAAAATAATTAGACACAAATACATACGCAATTTTATTTCTCAATTTGCTTTGAAATACTGAAAGTTTTCGAATGAATGTCGTATAAAAACGCAGTTGCATTTTGCTTTCCCTTACAAACATGCGAGACAATCCTCGCAAGAATTCACAGAAACGTAACGGGTTATGCATACTAACGTGATTACGACTATTGAAATAATTGCGTAATATTCGCGAACATCTAGAGAAATATAGTGTAATGCTTCTAAATGTCATATCATCGAGAAGAACCACCCTAAAGTGTGTTCCTTTTCTCATGAAACAATCTCGTTCAAGTATATATAATTCTTCCTTATAATTCTTCCTTTCCCCCGTTACACATTTATTGCTCAAAGCAAACGGCGTTCAGAGTGCTTCTCGAACCATAAAGACATTCGTAACAACGTTTACGTAATGCTGAAATCGCACTGTGTAACCACACAAGCGAGTCTAAGAATCTAATAGGATTAATAAATTGACTAAATTTGTGCCGGTAAATTTAATCGATAATCTAATTTTTTTATGAACTTTTGGAATTATTAGTATATTTAGACGAAAATGGCATTAATAGTTGAAAAGAGAAATTAACATTATAATATGAAAAATAGAAATGCATATAAACAATTTAAAAAAGACGAATAATATATATTAGAAGAGATATAGAAATCACAAAAAAGAAAAATATACTATATTATACAATACTATATTGTAACAATATCAAAACATGATATATTAACATAAATATTTTAATTTTAATAATGAGGCAATATATATATATATATATATATATATATATATATATAGATTTAATAATATAAGATAGATTAATAATATAAGAATAATAAAGATTTAATAATATAAAAGTTAAGAAGAAACAAAATTAATGGAAAATATAACAACTATCGGTATTTATAAGCATGTATCAAATTATCATCACTGATGTGCATCACAAAATAAATCTGCATAGAAAACGCTGATTTAAATAAAAAAAGAATTTTAATAATACTGTTACACAAGTCTCTATTGTAAAAAAGAATCCACTAAGATTTGTACAATAAAATAGAAAATTACGTTTGAAGGCATTTTCAGAAATCGTCAGCATTTAAAGTGCATGGGCCTTTTATAAAAGAAAAAGATCTGAGAGATGCTAAAAATCGAGGGATACGGAAATCTTGTCGAGCTATCTCGATGAGGCGCATCGATGGTCAGTCATCACATTCAAACTGTTAACGTGTTTTCACGGATTCTTGAGAATAGACGTCCTTTTCTTAATTTTTTAGAATTCAGAACAACAAGACACGATCGCGACGATTTTAATCCGTCCCGATTAATTATATGTATGATAAAAGCAGACGCGATTCGCATCGCGTCCATCGAACGACACCGCGATGGAGAGATGGTAACCGGCTTTAGGGTAGCTTTGTTTGGATTATCCGTTGCTCGGCGACGTTAGATTGATTTCATGTCGAGAGCTTTGCATAGAGTCTCCGCAAGGAGAGTTTCTCGCGTTAAATTGACACTAGTAGCTCGGCAAATACGTAACTCGATCAGAACGGATAAAGCTGTAAGTGTGTCTCGTATCAATTAACAAAAATGACATCTTTCCAAAAACCTTTATCCCGAGGTTGTATTCTTAAGTGAACAAATTATGATAAAGGTGCTCATTGAATAAACCAAACATTAACCACGCTCGTCTCATTCAACGCCAATATCAATTTACGCAATCGAATTTATGTGGTTGAACCACATCAAATACAGTCGAGAATAGGAAAATTAATGAAGCTAAAATTGACATTGATCGGTCATTATTGAGGCCTTGTTTAGCTAGCATGCCAGAATAGCTTACTATTGAGCCATTTTGCATAATTGACTTGATACGCATTGTGCCATTTGCGGTTTCCAAATGAATTCTGTCCATTTCCGCAAATGAATTATGCACGAATTCCTTTCTTCGTCTCATTAAATCTAACGTAACTTTATCCTCCAATCAGAGATTCTATTTAACCGCAATTTTTTAAATTATCTTTTTTTCTTATTTAATCTAATTATATTTAATGAAATTAAAAATAAATTTCGTATTGTTTTCTACGATAATTAAAAGAGGGAAATCGAGGCAGGCGAAATCGAATAAAGTAGATGTCTCATTTTATTACAAGACGTAAAAATCAACTTTTATTATAAAATAAATAAAAGTATTGCGCTGTCGTAGACGAATGGAAATAGATGGCCGTTCTGCTGCTTCTATTTTCAATATGTGCCGCACATAATTTTTCATCATTTTTAACAGAATGAGATGGATAAATGGAAACGCGGGAAAGTCCGATTGTTTGTCGTACAATGCATGTCATATGTAGTGTCAAGGTAGAGCGAAGAGATGAATGAGAGGGGAGAGGGCGGGGAGCTTTTTCAAGTCTGACTGCCTGGTCTTTTTGGGGACGATCCTCCGAGAGTGGCCCAAGACGTGCGAATATCCTGAGGCAGTACGAATTTCATTAATCCAGCCAATTCGCGTGTTCCTCCGCGCGATTCTCGACCCTCAAGCTGAGAAAACCCTCGGCGAGAGATCTCTCGACGCGAAGAACTGGTATCTTGCCGATAAGAAGGAACAAGGGATGCTCCACTTTGGCAAGGGGCTGTTCAATGTCGTGTTCATTCATCAATTAAATGACGAATTCGCTGATCCACTGCCTCATATCAGCCTCAGGATGACACGTTCGGCGTGGACCACTCCGGACCAGCGGATCTGCTGGTTCAATTGCGGAGATCTAATGCGAGTCGTGTTTAAGAGCCACGTTGACGTAGCCAGGCTCGTATACGGGCGCCGGGAGGTAATGTTCGATTCCCACCAAGTGTGGATGCCCTACGTGCGGACCAGAATAGTGGATGCGGGTGGTTTTATCGTCACCATGGACAGCGAGCGGGGCAGCCTTGAGGGCCGGGATATCAGGCCCGCCAGTGACATGGATTATCTCCGGCGCATGATGCTGAAAAAAGAACGGGGTGTTTAATAATAAAATATTTCTTACTTGAAATTACGTAAAGAAATCAAAATTGTATGACTGGAAAGTTTACGCAACGCAATCTTGATGAAATGATAGTTTCTTTCTCTAAGAAATTCCTCGATCGCGAAACTACAAAGTCACGAGCGAACGCGAGGGAGTTTAGAATGCTTGAGCAACTGCAGTGGGAATCTTGAGGCGGAAGTTGCACAAACGGGCGTGATCAATTTGATGCAATTGCAACGGAATTTCATAATACGATTTTCTACTTAAACTCAATTAAGTAGAAAATCAAATAATGAAGTAATTGAATTAAATTGAATATCAATACTACAACTATTATTTTTGGTTTCGAAATATTTTTGTTACATATTATATAACTTGAGGGACTTGAACTATATTTATTATATAATTATAAAGATTATAATACACGATATGAGCGTAATTTTTAGCAAACATGAATTTATTTGTTTAAATTTCTTATTTTATGATACATATTATATAAAACATAATTCTTTAAAATATAAAGCTTAACATGATAGCTTAAAAATCAATAGAAAAGAGAAATTATAAAGTTTACATATATGATGTGATTGCGAAATAATTATCAAAAGAGAGAATATTTTGTGTGAAAATTGTCATTTTGAAATACTCACTATGTATCCAGCGCTGGCGACTGCCACAACGGCGAACAGAACAACCTGTAATAAGAAAATATAAATTAATGCAATTCAGAATTTTAGTACTGACTTCAATAACTAAAAATCACAACAATATAATAACAAAATAAATAAATAATACAATATTTAATGAAAATCATATTTCTTATTGTCGTTTTGAATTTGTTATTAGGAATTCAAAACTCTTTAAGACTGTTTATTTAACAAATAAATAAAAAGGATACAAAGAGAGATACAATAAAATGTAATAAACAATGCCAAAGAAAAAGTCAAATTGACAAGATATCGAAGAGAGTAAAATTATCCAGATAATTAAAGACATAAATTTCATTGTCTCTCTATAAATATCTACGATTTTACATGCAAGAAAAGAACGTAAAATCGACGATCAAAGCCATCACGTGCAAAGGGAAAACTTACGAAGAATTTCATGGCGACGGGCGGTGGTTTTTCTTGCGTGTTATGCGAGCAAGCACTATGCGTTCGAGGGTCGATGCGGTATGCTTTTATAGCAGGTCCCTGCCCAAGTCGAGGCCTACTCTTAGACATCAAGCGGGGGCACGGCTTTGCACGTCACATGGACCCCTTTCACTAATCACATGACCGACACCCTCTCGAGTTCTCCCCCCTTGTTGGGTGCTCACCCAACCGCAACGTCACGCCTCGTCACGCTTCCGATAATACCGATATCACGACGGTACCCCTCGTAAAACGTCGAAGATTAGCTAGATATGTACCATCGGAGAGAGATGCATCGTCGTCTTCAAAATAATCAATGAGCGTAAGTGAGAATGTATGAAAATAAAATTTAAATAACATAAGCCGCTTAAATAGAAGAAGATATGTTAAATCGTGACGCTAAATCGCGATGATTAAATCAACAATGATATTTGTGAAATCGCTGATTTTTATGCTTAGAGAATTACAACGTTACGCAAAATTGCATGGAAGAATTAATTTATGTTGAATGAAATCGACTTGTTTCTTTGGCATACTTTTATTTTTTAAATAATTCTAAAGTTTCTCGATTTACTTTTATTTTTAAAAAAGTTTCTAAAATTTTTCTGATTCTAATGAATTCATTTTTTTCTTTATTTCGCATATTATGCATTACGTTCTACGTTATGCATTATATACATGATATTATTTATATTTTATCACACGATTGGTGACATAAACTTCGAGCTATTAACTTCATAAGTCGATTGCATCAATTATTAAATTTTACTACAACACAGTTTAGCTAAGCTTTCTTTTCATATTTTCTGGTTCTATTTAAATGCCATATTTTTCATATGCATATTTTTCATGCAAATTAATTTATTTAGTAATAAATATCGAATATATAATATTAAAATCTTGCAAAACAGGAAAGTGCCATGCATGTTTCTCCAAAAACAGGCTTTTACTACTGACACATATGTATGACATATATATGTATTAAATTGATATCCTTCCAACGTGATTGTTAATTTCTTGTATTTGGTATAGCATGTATAAAGGGTAAATAAATAAATATAATATACATATTATAATTATATCATTTTTAATCTGTTGTCACAATGAATTTACTTTATCATTGATAAATTTGTATTGCTAAGTCTTTAATTAAACAATAATTAATTATATTCATGTATAAGATAACCCAGTTTATAGACACGCGCAAACTTTCACAAACATTTCAATGCAACTTCATTACAACATATTAACTTGTAAACAAGTACTTATATTCCTTGCTACACATGACTGATCTAGGGGACTGGATCTTTATGAATGCAATTCGTTCGGAAAAACTTGAGAGGTAAAATTGTAAAACGATATGACATATGCATATTTATTTGAATATATGTTGCTCAATTTGGTTTTACATATAACTATGCAATTTGTTGCAATCGAACAATCGTAATCGCTTCGAAAAAAAGAAAGAAAAAAATAAAGAAAAAAATTAGAATAAATAAAATGAAAGGATGGAATATAGAGGGCGATTGAATAAAAAATAACAGTGCAATTCCTGATTTATCAAAGAGATAAGGTCAATCTTTATTAGAAAATAAATTAAAATCTTGTTACAAATGAAAAAATAATTGAACGGGAAGCGGGACAAGAGGGACGGAAGGAGAAACGCTTTCTCTTCTTTTTTGCGATGTCTTCTTCAGTATCGCAATTGCCGCATGGGAAATTTTTCAATATTGAGACGGAAATAAAGAAAAGAATAGACACGGTTGTCCATGTATTTGTGTGAAACGTATCATATGTAATTCTAAGATAAAATCAAAATCAAATATATTTTTTTTCGAGTTTGGGTGCCTTGCGATCCGCGAGCAGTCCACGATTTTTCATCTCCCGCGAGGTTCCTGAAAGCCTCGAAGATTTTGATAATTCTCGCGACATGATTCTTGCCGTTTGCTTCTATTTATTTAAATCGACATAATTGGAAAAGAGGTAAGGGAGGGAAGAATGTACATAAAAAGTCATATTTATATGTCATCGACAAAATTGTCTGCTGTCATTGTTACGATTATTAGATCTTGAAATGATTACTGAAATTCGATATGGACCGCTCTGGATGGATGAGTTTGACGGCATCGTGTCGTACGGAGATCTTAGTGCCAGCCGTGTCCAGTCTTGACGACGGAGATTTCGGGTTCCGGAGCAGGCACGTAATGCTCGACACCGACGAGATGTGGATGCGGGACATGCGGAGAGTCATAATGTATTTTGTTGACATGGTCGTATCCCTTGATTGACAAAGGCTTCGGGTGCGGTGGTGGAATGGGGGTATGCTGGGGAATGGTGAGCACGTGGTGAATCTCCTGTAATAAACGATAATGTAATGATATTAATATTATAATAATACTAAAAATATTATTAATTATATTTCTTAAATTATTATTATTATTAAAAATTATTATTTATATTTCTTAAATTCAGATTTGTGAATAATTAAAATCATTTAACATAAAACAAACTCAAGAGGCATATATTATGTATTAATGTGTAAATAAATATTACAAAATAAATCTATTTATCTCTAAATCGATCTTATTCAATGAAATATGATAAATTCTCTCATAAAATATCTGTTTAATTTAAAAGCGATTTATTTTACTGACGATAGAAAAGCATGCAATCAATTAAAACCGATTTATGCTCAATAATATCACAGTTGACGCATAACAAATTATTCCTATAAAATGTACAAGTGTTAATTTCATAAAAGAACGAATTTTATAAAATTTTGAGCAAAACCATGTAAATGCTTTAATGTAGTGTACAAATAACAAAATAAAATAATGTAGAATGAGTAATTTAAATATAAAAAAAATTAATTGCAGAAATATTGAAAATTTTATAGTAAAAATTTCGCTTTTCTAACTTAACATTATTACATACATTATTACATAACAACAATAATGAAAACAAATAAAACAAAGATAATTCAAGATGCGTATCGTTAACTATGTAACGGGGATTTGGAGGCGGAACAAGCGTTACGTAAACGAATTGCATCGATCATTTCGGTGCAATTGAACCGAGATTTCGTCATAGCCACTTTATAGACCCCCGATTAAATAGGAAATCCAATTAGCTAACGATTGCGGACACGTATTCCGTTACCGGTTCAACTGCACCGCCAAGCAAGAAAGCCACGTAACTACCGATCAGATCTTACAATGTAACGTAACATTAGAAATCGACCGATCATTAAACGGAAGGGAAGGCGATTGGAGATACGACAACAAAATCACGGTAATCACTCATTTCCCGTTGCACGTTATTCTCCGAAATCTGCAATTACTGGATCTGCAAATTGTTATTAATTCTAATGTCAAGCTATGTTGTATAATGTACTAATATCTCTCACCCGTTGATATAACCGGTTGTTAAGTTTGCCTAGAATTTCAATTCTGATAATAATTATATTAAATCTTTGGCTTTATTAATTATGATTCAATTAATTAATTTTTGCCAAAATATTATTTAAAGAAAAAGCAAGCAAAAGTGATTGTCGTGGCACAACAAAGAGCTGATTTTTCTAGCAATGCTTTTTTTATGCTCTCGCTTAGATTATATGTAATATATTAATATATTTATTATTTACTTTAGTAAATCAAATAAAATAAATTATTTTGAATAGCAGTATTTCTTTGCATTACAACTTTACCAAATTTTTCTCCATTATCATTATCTCCTAAGGATAAATTGTGTATTTAGTTTTGTGCACTTTTGTTATTTCAATTCGCCCTGGCAAATTCAGCGGAGGCGATTAGGCACGTGTCCACCGTGTGATTTAATACAAAATCGATTTCGATGATAATCTCTTCATCACCATTACCTTGGCGTACGATGGAGCGGTGACCTTGATGTATTTCGGTGCAGGCGCGACCCAGGGAAGGGGCGCGTGCACCACCGGAGCAGCGTGGACCACAGGAGCCACCCAGGGCTCCACGATCTGAGTGCATTAAACAATCTCTCATATGATCTAAATCGATCACTGATTAACACAGCCAGGGTGTTACGTGAAGTTACTTTCGCCACCGAGTACGTCCAAAGCTACTCGGTCACCGGAAGCGAGATAGACGGAGCTATTTCGTATGGCGATGAAGTTTTGAAAGAGTGTGTTACATACGTACACAGATCGAGAGAATTGCGAAGAGCAGAAGAAGAATGACAGTTAATGCAAAAACATCGAGATGGGAGAAAAGGATGATAAATGAAGATTAAATAACAGTATTTTGTCACTATATGTTTTGATTTATCGAGAGAAATATGGAAATATCTGAAAATTTTTCGAAAGTACAAAATATCAAAAATAAATATCAAGATAAAAAATAAATGTTGTCAAACGAAATATCAGTTGCTTGATTGACAATGATAATGATGGCGACAAATTTCTGCTGTAAGATTAATTTGCTAACTGAGAGATTAATTTGTCTAAGATGAAATGTATGAACTAAAAGTTTAAAGACAAGTATTTCCCTTGAAAATGGCTGATTAAGAAGATTTAATGATTACACATTTATCTTGTTAAAGCCCGAGTCGATCGAATCTCGGGTAACGAAGAATGTAGAGTTATTTAAAATGACAGAATCGAGGGCTGATAAAAAATAGTAATTAAATGAAGATAACTAATGAGAGTTGGATAACTCCATCAAATTCCAGTTTAATTAATCACGATGATTAAACTCAAAAAAGCGATGATTGAATGTCCATAAAGGATTTACACTGTGTTACAATAAAATAGTAATATTATATTATGCATGTATATATTTTATATAAAAGCATATAAAGGAAAGTGACAACAGAAATAATATTTATTATTTAATTATAATATACATAAGTGGTAATTATTAAAAAAGCACTTACTGGCTCATGATGGCTGATATATCCAGCACTGACGGCCGCTACAACGGCGAATAAAACAATCTGTAAAAATATAATTACATGTTGTAATTTAATAAAATAATAAGTAATCATTTAACATACATTCCGAGTTTTTACTTATTTTTATAAAAAAAAATATTTATCCTGATACAATAAAAAGCAGAAGAAAAGAAATATATTAAATTAAACAAATCATATATTAATTTAAATCAATATTTTTTATATTTTTTATTTGATTTTTTAATATATTATATAGGAAAATTTAGATCGCGAACTGTTTATATTATACACTTTGTATTATATTACATAAAACAAGGGCAAATAAAGCATCAAAAGATACTGGGCATATGCAATACTTGTGTAACAGTATCGCGTAACAAGGAATCTTCGGGAAACAATCGCAAGTGAATTATTCCGCAACGGGTCCGCAACGGCAAACTTTTACTTCCTGCGTTATATTTGCACGAGTAGAAACTTACAAAGAACTTCATGGTGTGTGATGAGAGTTTTTCTTTGCTCGCTACGCGGACAACACTACGTGTTTGAGGGGCAACGCGGTATGCTTTTATAGGCCCTGCCTAGGCCCAGGGGAACTCAGGGATGAGGCTGGGGGGAGGCACTCGACGATTGCACCGCTTTGGATGCGGACCCCTTTCACTAGGAGCAAAATCGACCCTTTCGGATCCCTTATCGGGAATTCAAGAGCATCAATCGATGATGATCAATCGTAACTTCCGGTACCGAGAAAATACCCTTGAGGATACTAAAGGACCATAGAAGGAGGATGGACCTCAGATTCTGCGGATGAAATCCGCATGTCGTTAACCCAGTTTGTTAGAAAAAGCAGTTGTACTGATCAAAAGAATATGGATTAAATCACGATTCTAGATCACTATTAGATTTATTAATAATTTACAAAATGAGTATTTTCGTTTTAGAGAATTATATTATGCTTCGCGTAGGGAAAGTAGATTTATATAAAGCTAAATTGAACGCAATATTTCACGGATGAGGAGATTTATATATGTAAAGCTATTAGATTTAAATCAAAAGGTTAAATAGTATCAGAAATAACATTACATTAAATAATTAAATAGAAAAAACAAGTTTTATCAAAAAATAAAAATATTTTCGTGAAAAACCAGTGTATATGGTTATATATATGTGTGTAAATATTAAATAGCATTGCAGTAAATATGTAAATATGTAAATATTAAATAGCATTGCTATTATTAAAATTAATAATAGTAATATTAATATATTAGTATTAGTATTATAATAGTATAATAATTATACAGGTCTGCAAAGTTACAAAAAGCAGAATAGGTGAATCTGAATGTTTTAACATTGAAAACGAATCTGGCCGCAGAATTTCCCTACCGCGTCAGATTTTTAAGTAATTTGTGCTTAAATAGTTCAAAAATGATTATTTCAGCCAATTTGAATTTATTATGAGAAAACTTAATTTTTTGAAATATTTTTGCCAATGGCATCTTATAGTACTAGTTTTCATCTTTCAAATCCATTTTCGATTACCGCTGTACGATTTTTTTCGCAAAGATATACAAGTATGAAGTTATAAGAAAATTTATGTTAAAGAAAATTTGCCATTATATTAGCCACCATCTTGAAATTTAAAAAAGCTTACATCTATCAAGTTTGATTATTGAAAAAAGTCTTGTAGAAATATATCTAATACAGTTACACATTTTGATAAATTTTTATTACCTTTTTATTGTGATTCTGTCCGCCACATTTTTAATTTCAAAAAATGACAGGCAGTGCTCGAAAACTTATATTTTTATCCAAATGTTAATTTGTTACGAAAGGTAACACAGTTGAATTGAAATGAATCACTGCATGACCAGTACTTATAACTTGTATATTTCAGCGAAAAAAAATCATGCGGAGGCAATCGAAAGTGGATTTGAAAGGTGAAAACTAATATTATACGATGCCATTAGCGGAAATATTTCAAAAAATTAGGTTCCCTCATAATAAATTCACTGAAAAAAAATTTACTGAAATAATCATTTTTTAACTATTTAATCACAAATTACTCAAAAACCTGATGTACTAGAGAAATTCTGCGACCAGATTCATTTTTGACAAAAAAATCTATCAATTCACCTATTCTGCTTCTTGTAACTAACTAAACCTAAAATTTCGCAGGTCTGTGTTATCAATAATTAATATTATCAGTATATTATTAATGTCATTTCTGATGTGATTTATAATAACCATAAATTTCTGTAATTTATTATCTATTTTTTATTATCTATTTATTAATATTTGGATATATTTTTATTGTTTTATTTCAAAATACAGATATTGTTTGATAAAAGATTTATTACGCGCATAAATCGTACAAGCCCAACCTCCGGTGTCACATCACAATCGTCTTAACAAGCATCTTCGATCAATCACTTTAGATTCACGGATCACAGTCGTGATGTATTGATCACAATACGTTAAGTCATTGCGGTTACTAAAGCGGTATGTAGCTCGTAAAATATCCGGTTCATGTATTGAATGTACAAGTTGATGGAGCGGTTCTGATTAGGATGTAACACACACCCGAGGAAAATGTGGCATGAGAAAGAAAATGTCGGAGCGTTTTTGCAACTTGCGTAAAAGGGACATACATTCTGTTTCTATATAAAACAATCGTCTCTATCTCGCTATCATTTCATCAAATGCGCTATTATTTCATCAAAAGAAGATAATAAGCGTATAATAATGCAATCATACTATAACTGAAATAGAAAATACGATCATCACTTACCTTTCTCAAATGATTTCCCGCGAAAAAAATAATAATGTTTAAGGAGTTTACTGTCAATTACGACCAATTTGACAGAGAAACACAAGAGAATGAAAATCCACAACGCAATTCTTACGCTTTTGCAATTACGAAATATACACTCGATATACGTATTTGGAAAAAAGCTATGTGTAAAAACCGATGACGTAATACGTTGATACAATTTATGAAGAATAAAATGGACGAGAATCGATTTTTACAATCATAATCCATGGATGTATCATTTCGACGATCTATATAAATTTTTTTTTATGATGTGATTTTCCAATTTATATATTTCTTGTTAACTTATGATGTACACCCAGAGAATATAACATATCAATATCGTATATTAATTGCACAATAGCAAAATCCGCGTTTCTTCAATTTCTCGCCTCTCTCTAGTTTCATTAATTACAATACAGTTCTATTTTATTTTATTACACGCGTAGATTAATTTTGCAATCTGCGTTTTTTCCATCGTTTAACTCTTTGTGTAAAGAGAACCGTGCAATCTTTTTCCTCTGTTCTAGTCACATTCGTTTCACTAGAAACGTGTCGAAATCGCTATTATCTTGAGAAGTTGGTGTATATGCACATTCCACAAATATAATAGAACCATTATTGCCATGTGGACTAATTAGACACTATGACGAATAAAACACCTTCTTTAATAAGTGGAAAAATTTCTTACAAATTCCAAGAAATTTTTAGAAAAGTATAGAAATTTATTTTAAAATGTATATAAAATATTTTTTATATAAAATATTATTTTAGAATGTATATAAAATAATTCGTAAATAAAATGTCTTCTTTGCTTACGTTTAACAAATTTATATAAAATAGTTTGATCAACATTATTAACAATATAAATAGTAATATATAATGAACTAACAGCTGATTGATTTATAATATCGACATAAACAGAGAAAATATTTTTATATTTCCACTACAAAATTAAAAATTCTTCCATCAAATTGTACAATTCGTAGTAGTCATCGATTTTTCAATATTTAGTAGTTCTAGCAATTCTCCCTCTGTGCGTCATTCACCCTCGGGTCTAATAAACGCACATTTAACGAGCGCCGTTAATTTCGCAACTAACACTAGCCAGCTGAAGGTGGGTTATAGCCATGAACGCATTTACTTCTGGGTCACATCAGAGAGTACATCTGTCTCTCTCTTGCTCTTTCCCTCGCCATAAAAACGTAATTACGATTTTCACGAGTGCGATATCGTCGTTTCCGAACGCGATGCAAGTGAACGCCCGCGTGTTTCTTCGTCGTCGACTGCGCTTTTTCAGGCTGATTAGCAATTACCAGGACGGTATGAGATTGACGCGGTGTAAGAATAACGATTTGCGCAACCACAATCCGTTATATTTCTCCCGCGAGTGTGCCTCTGCACGGAGAACAACCCCGTCCCGCGAGTATACCTCTGCACGGATGTTAATATGCTACGCGATGTTGAACGCGTAGCGGAATCGCGTTGCAAAATCTGGAAAGTTTAACGATTCCAATTATTTTGTAACGCCACGCGCTCACGTTGTTTGAATCAGAACAAATAGATAAAGATGGAGAGTAAAAAAGAAAATAAAAGAGAGAGGGAGATGATCGTGTGTACACTAGTTAGTGCAGCAAAAGCACGAGAAATATTAATACTCGTGTTATATCAGTGATGCCCGAGAGAGATTTTTATATGATCTTTAAACAATACTTTGAAAAATTTTATGAAATTAAATATGTGCCAAGTTGAAGAGAAAGAGAAGGAAACAGAACAAAGAATGAGAGAGAGAGAAAAAGGAAATAAAAAAAAAGGAAATAAAGAGAAAAAAGAACATCATTAATCCAGATAATATTGCTCATATATGCGTATGAATATATGACGATGTAAGAGAATAAAAAGATATTAATATGAATAAAAAGATATTAATAAAATATAACATAAGAATTGTAAAATGTAACGATGTGAATAAAATATGTATATTATGTATTTCTGAGATTACTTAAATTTTGAGAGACTATGTATAGATATATACTGCCATATATAAGTGATTTCGAAATATAAAAAAAAACGAAAATGCAGATTAACTTGCCTATGCACATCACTACATAGCAATCCGAACGCACTTTCCCCCGCGGGGAACACAATGCTGTAATTCATGCATCGCTGCAATCGATAAACTGATCTCCGGCACGTGAACGAAGCAGCTTTTGCCCGTAATACATAATACATTAATCGGACCGTGTACGACTATTTCATACTCGTATATTAATCTTTCGCTCGCAGGTTCACCTTTATTTATTCAAAAATAAAATTGTGTCCATTTAAATGAAACAATATATCATAAGAAAATAAAAAAAATATTAAAAAGTTGTAAAGTTCTGGATATTTTGAATATTGTAAAAATTTGGAATTGTCATATTTTCGAACATCGTCATCTTTTTAAAGAGATCTTCTCAAGTAAAAAGGCAAACTCTCTTTTTCTTATATTCTAAATACGAGTAATGAGTTTATAAAATGGTAAGATTATGACAAATAGTTATATCAGTGTTTTCGAAATTCTAGGTAAAGATAATGTTTCATAATGTTGTTAAATTATAAAAAAAATCTCCCACATATCAAACTGTCGAACTGTCGAAATGTCCCTGAACTATCGTAATTATCCGTGTTCGTTCATTGTTTCTTTTTGCACGCTCGAGACACAATCGTGAAAACGCGAAATCGTAAGACGTAAGCGCTAAATAAAGTGGATGTTGCAATTAGCGGTTAATAAGCGCGCGAATCATCGCGAATGAATCATCCATCGACGGCGAATCATGATTTACGCGCATCTGACCATGAAAATCGAGAAAAG